TATCTACAAAACCCCATCTGAAAATAAGAAAGATTGGTTCAGTGAGAAGTTCTATTCTCAGTGAATTCAATTTCAAAGCTGTACAATTACAAATATATATACTTATTCTTCAGCATGATAATAATCACAATAATTACAGTTAATCTCAATTTCAACATTTTATCTTTTCATGCTGAGCCATTTTTTCCTAATTATAATTACCCTATTTACCTTCATTATAAATATGCAAAACCCCTAACAATAAAGTTATTATTAGTTTCTTGCTAAAAAAACAACCTTTTAGTACCTTTGTTTATTCTACCTCACTGTCACCATATTCAAGAGAATTTCATAATCACTATTATTTTAATTATCGTGATTATTATAATGCTGAAGAATAAGTATATATATTTGTAATTGTACAGCTTTGAAAATGAATTCACTGAGGATAGAACTTCTCACTGAACCATTTATTCTTATTTGATATCTCAATGGGTATATTCCGTTTACTTGAAAACAAATATGATCAAATGTGGTTGTTTAGAAAGACAGTCCAAGATAGATGAATATTCAGGCTTTTTTCCCATTGAGGGCAGTGGGGTTTCGCAATATGGGAAACGTTGCGGCTACTAGTCTTTCTTTATAGTTGGAAAAGCCATTATGAATTCTTTTGATATTTGCAAGAATTATTTGGTGATTATGGAAAAATAGTATAAGTTATTAGTTTGTAGGTAATTTAATTTATTACTCTTAAGGATTCTTTATTTCTAATAAATGGATGTTCCTGTAAATAGTCAATCGATACTTTGATATTCTTTTTTGTCATATCCACCATTTGAAACTAAGTTTTATTTAACTTCGTTATAGATTGTATTATAGTTAATCGTCAGCAGAGGGACATCTCACGTTTCATAGAATAAGTCACATTAACAACGTCACATATGTGTATCAAAAAGGCAAAAGAATGCAACAAAATACTAACTACCGTTTTGTCATGAACCCATTTTAAGGCAAATTGACATAGTGATTCTTTTAAACTTGTATCGTATTAAAAATGTATTTGATCAAGACCTGATGTCTTATTGGAACAACTGAATTTAATGGGCTTTGCGTGCAGCATTTAGACGTTGATGATTTAAAGATTTATTACGTAATACCAAGTACTTATAATGGAAAATAAGAATTAATTTGTGGTAATGCCATTATGCTAATATAAGTTTGATAATAATAAAAAACACTACAAGCAGCATGTTTTATAAGGAGGTTTGTGGAGGTATTTTTATAATTTTTCAATGGTTCCCCTAACTAATCGATAAAACCTAGGAGAACATTGGAAACCAAGGATAGCCGAAGTGAATTTTTATCCTAATTGAGTTCTCAAAAATTTATTCAATTGAATATTGCAGATACCAAACACATAACCTTTAGCTCTCAGGCCTAGTTAATTAACTTTGAACTAATGAGTCAAAATAAATTTGTATAGTAATTTCACATTCGACGAATCCACCATATTATTCCTCCATTATACAATCAAAACTGAAAGAAACATCATTTACTTTCCAATTTTTATTCGTACTTCAGGAATTCATCTCAAAGTCTGTCATCAGCAAGCCCTGACAGTATTGGTTGTAAACGTGTAACAACCGTGAAAGTAGATAGATGAAAACAGAAACGTTTTATACAACGCTTAAAAGAAGACAAAGACCGATAGTTGGTGGAGACGTTATTTACCCTCTGAAAAAGTACAACTATTTAAAACAATATACTATCATTTAATTAGAGATTTTATAGACATTTGGTGACATCGAACATAGCTAAAATAGGGAAATGCAAAATAAATTTTATACAGAATAAATACAAAATACATGTTTAGTATTTTACTGAACAAGGTAATACTAAATCAATATAAAGAATCTTATGTTGAATAAGATATTAAACTAGATTAAACCAGATATAATAATGTAGCGAACGTGACATAGGTAGGGACAACCAAAAGAATTTTAATACTTTAGTGACTCAACTTCGCTAGTTAATCACCTTGAAAAACTTTATTACATAAATCTCAATGGTGTTTGAAATCAGAAGGTAATGAGAAGCGGCGACTACAGTTTATTAGCGGATAGCACAGACATCAAAATCATAAGCATATCAAGCGAATTCGAAGCAGATAGGCGAATGTGTGTGTGAGAGAGAAAACAAGCGAATTTATAGTCAAATCGAATAAGGCGAGGCTAGGTAAGGCAAAGAATAATGGTAGGATTCGAGTACATATATACATGGGAAAGAAAATGATTCATCAAGCTATATTTAAACCATCAGCATTCTAGATAAAGATAAATGAGTAGGCTGTCATGTGATTAAGCGTACACGTTTATACAGATAAGATAGTGATCATAATAGTACAAACAAATATGCGGATTGTTATTGTTCGAATAACATTGTCTGTTAAGTTAATAAAGGGGCTTAATAAAAATTTAACCATAATCGAAATTGATTGTAAGAGAGTTGCTATAAAACAGTAAATAATTCATGTGCAAATTATCCACCAATGGTCTCAGACTTTGTTGCGTCTCCGTTTTCACACTGACCACTCTCTGTTCTCTTGGATTTTCTCAATCTTCTGCCGTCAGGTCTTCCACTTTCGATTGATGATATACTACTTATATTTGTCAACATTAATAGCACATACCACAATATCAATACAAAAATCATGTTAGATTAAAACTTAATCATGTATTTTATCGTATCTTAAAACATTTGATAAATGTTTTGTTAATCATCAGTAGAATATTATTCTTGTGTTGTGTAGATAAACGTCAATGAAAATCTAATCACTTCTTTATGGTGTTCATAAACAAAGCATATTACTGATGGGTTATAATGAATGGTAAATGAAAGGTTTCCATATAAAACTGACAAATGAATTTACTGTTGATTTGAATAGAAATATCTTTATCTTAAATAGTAATTAATAATAAGTTAATAAAGCTAGTTACTGATGTAGATAAGCTATTTCTTATAAAGAACAGTTTAAAATAGAAAATATATAAAATACTTTTTTGTAACTTTTTAAGTTGTACTGAAATTGAGAATCTTTTAATTATATTTTGCTATGTTCAAAAAGATTACGAGATCACTCAAAATCGGCTGACGGAACGAATGATCGTCGTCACAACGACAAGACTAGCTTAACTATTCCGATGTGTCCTAGTCCCTCTAACTAAAGAAAAAAGATCAAGTTCAGATTAGGGAAAGGTGTGTTCCACAAGCAGTCCGGAAGCAAGAACAACAACAACAAGCACCCAACTCAAACGTATATATACAGCGTAAAAATGTCCTTGAGAAACGTCACAAAATAGCATATTAAAAGAGGGGACGAACCAGTGATGTTTAGATTCCTTTTAAGTGGGAACTACAATCTGAGTGTAAAAGTGGGTGCTTTTGGCACTTAAACAAAAGATTCCATTTTTCCAAAATAAAATTACAAAGATAAGATGTTTACGAAGTGATTTCTGGGGATCTAGTATCCTCAACATATTTAGGCACATTCTGAGATTTATTGCAGATTGAATTCTGGTGTACATGCTCTGTTGAGTTACCAAACACGCATATATACATTAAGTAGCCTTGGAGTAGTATTTGTTTATAACTTTTAAAGGTAATATAGTTCATAAACAGATATTCCCAGGATATTTATAACAAATAATATGGTTTTATGTTGATCGTTAACGTTTTTACAGTATATCCATTTATTCAGAGGGTGCGTAACTAAATAGCCTGATAATAAATGTTCAAGCCCTTTTTCCATTTACTTTAGTGTAAGTAACATTCCCCATAAAAAATCATACGTTATAATTACAACTGTACTACAGCTTGGGTGAATCAGTTTTTTTAACAAACAACCTAATGAAAGTATAAATGTAATAAATAATGCAATATCGAAAAACAGAATAAGAGAAGTTATATACGTCTGAAATATTAGTAGGTAATCGTCATCAATTTCTTTAATTTTCTCATTTCTGAGCTTATTCCAAAGAAACTGAGGCTGTGAGGGACCAGGGCTCTCAACAGTGCAATAGCTCGGCATTTACTTGACACCGGGCACACCATTGACATTTCTCATGCTTTCAAAATTATTAGCAAACAAAGAAGTACGACTGCTCTTCGGTTTGCTGAAGCGATTGAGATAAAAAAAACCTGGAAACACTGGACGGCCGTTTCGTCATATTATGGGACTCCTCAGCAGTGCGCATCCACGAACCCGCTCTCGTGAGCGAGACTCGAACCCAGGATGCGCACTGCTGAGGAGTCTCATAATAGGACGAAACGGCCGTCCAGTGTTTCCAGATTTTCCATGGTGGTCTAGCTTCAATTGACTCATGCTTTCTACTATGAAAAAAATACTAAATCTCCACAAAACCCCTTCTGATAATTAATAAAAAAAAACTCAAACCGGATATATAAATTTATTACTACCATGGTATTCCATTTTTTTGTTTGTTTTAGTTTTCTGGTTATTAGTTTTATTTTGGTTAATATTTAGTTTTGTATTATATTACTCTTCCATTACCCAATTCTTAAACCACCCTTTCACTCACACATATCCGCTCACTTGTTTCTCTTTAATTATATGAACTGTCCAAATTCTATTCAATTATTACGTAACCCATCCTGTTTGATTTTATTCTGTGATTCCTTCATTGCCTCTAAAATTATCACATACTTTATCTTATATGTCTTTGAAGTCCTCGCAACTATTACACCACCCACCCTTTATGTTGCTCTGACCTTTTCTTGCATATATATATATATATATATATATATATATATATATATATATATCGTTATCATTGATAACCTTTTGTCATTCCAATCCTTTACAATCACTTATGTCAAATGTTCCACACTATTTATTATCCCAATGCTAAAATTCTAATAAATATTTGGTTGTAAGCAGCTGATGAAAAACCACGAAATATAATAAATTCATATTATTCTGCATCAATATTTGTTCTGTCTTTATTTAAATTCATAAAGGGAACTAATTGCATAAAACTATTGAGACGGCTCTCAGAAGGCCCAATAAAACCTTCAGAAGCTCTAAAGGAATCGAAGTCGTAAACTATATTAGCCGTGACCACGTAAAGAACTTACCAACAAAAAAATCCTCTTTATTATATTTTGCCTTAAAATTCAATTATATTTAATTAACTTTTAACAGTTAATTTAATTACAGTATTAGTAATAATAACCATTCAAACGGTTACTTATTTTAGATGGATTAATTTTTTCTAAAAAAACAATATAATACTTTATAAGTAGGTTGTTATAAAAGTAGTATAAGAAAAATAAAGTAAGAAAATATTTAAAATCTATTGAATAACTTTTAAATTCAAGTTGAATTCTTGATGTTAATAACTTTGTGAGCTCTATTGTTATTGAATAGCATTCATGAATCATATATCAATAATAGAAATGAACATTCGAATACTACTTTTAAATTTCAAGTAGTTACAAGATTCATATACACAGATATTTATATAAAATAGTTTTATATTTCTTTTTATTTTATATTAGGTGCTGTAATATTAAGCAGACCTTCTATCCATTCACCAGGTTTAGATGTTACAGATTCCCATAGTGATGTACTCCTCATTACTGTAATGCCTTGATACACATTAGCATTCACGCTGTTATCATTGGCTGTATCTATTAATTCAGATTCTTCTTCGGTTTAAAGGAAAAATTAGAATGAAAAACAAGATCAGAAAAGAGATATACTTTATAATAATAAAATTCTTTAGTACAGCTGTAATATAAAATTGATATTCTCAAACGTATGAAGATGTACTGAAAGGAAATTATATCAGTAAGCGGTAGGACAATGTATTTTAGAGTTCAGAGAGAATTGTAGTAATTAAAAATCATATATCACATCGGAAAATGATATTTTACGTGAATCCATCAAACATTTCCTTAAATATTATTTTCAGATCGTGATGGTTGAATTATGTTTTAACCAGTAAGCATGAATAGAAATAGTTCACATCTTTGACTGAGGTGAAATTTCTTCAATGTTGATTTTCCATTCTATCTGGAACAATTCAATTTATGTTGCCTCTGTTTATAGGTTTCATGGGAAAGTATGGAGTAACTTCAACAAAATCATCATTATCGATATTCTTTTTTAATTATTGAAAGGTTGTCGAAGAATAAAGAGAGTAATGCTACGCAATTAGTATAACTGGCAACTATTTCGTTCTCATGTCATTCATTATTGTATTATTGTATGTACTTAAACGATAATGGGATAAAAGATGTAAATTTCTATATGTTTACTGTATTCAAAGTATTCTTTCATTCATAAAACATCTATGATTGTCTGATTCGGACCTTATGTTTGTACATAGTAGTTTAATTCAGCAAGTTAATCATCCGTAGGGTACATACTTTCATAAATATATTGAGGTAAACCGTGTTTATATATTTATATATGTCATTACCTTTATTGGAAATTTGTACGATTCCTAATAGTTCTGGATCGCTGAAGTTACTTGAACGATTCCAAATAAATATTTTCATAGTAGATTCGATTAATTCACTAAGATATTTGTTTGAAAACTGTAGTAAACTATTCCAAAGTGGTTGATCACTTCGTAGAATTTGATCAGTACTTCGACATTCTGTTTTGTGTTCAGGATCAGTTAGTTCCCTAATTAAATAAAATAATTGCATGCAAGTCATTGATAAAAGTAAATGTTTATTTATTATATTCTATTTGATATCAAACCATGTCGGTTGATGGTTCACTTATTGGGATTTATTCAGTGTCTTTTAATTTTCATACTGTAAAAACAGTGTACCATCTGACTGAATGTTGAATATTCTACAAACATCGTTATTGCTGTTTAACTTATTAAATACGAAAAAATTCACGGACTATTCATTAACCTAAAAAAATAGATCTAATAAAGAAATAAAGAGTATTTTAGTTCATTGAAACACAATGGATACTTATTTCTTTTCATTCCATCTCACCTGACTATCGTAAACTAGCAATTAAATACACAATTCAATGTAGGGATTCTTATTCTTATGGTAATCGCAAGACAGTTAAGGTATCTCGTCTTCATCCGGGTGTCAATAATTTAAAAACTATCACCTTGTTATGTTTACAACTTGTCATTAAATGCCATCAGTTGGTAACTGCTACACTGTTGATATAGTTAACTCTACAAGCTATAAATGAAGTACACTTCATAAAATTGGAAAATAAATTTCATGAGTTAAGTTGTTATTTGATTTATAAAACACAGTTTTAAAATGTAAACATACACAGTCACGTAAGAGTTTATATCTGTACCAGCTTTATGTGAATGTAAATTTTTTCCTTCCTTTATCCAGACATCCAATACGCCAATCAAATCAATAGCTTCATCAGCTACACACAACACTTTTTTCTGATAATCAGATATTGCAAAACGTAAAGCAAGTTTGATTTGACCGTAGTAAGCCGAATTTATGTTAGAATTTGTAATGATTGAATTCTATGAGGAAAAATATTATTGACAGGTTATAGATCTTTTGTTATAAATCAAACAATAGATTTGAATATTCTACATGAAATACTTATTCAGGGATTATTTATTTACGCTTTTCTCCTTATCATCCCTAGTCTAACGATCAAGCAGCATATTTAATGGATACTTTTAAACAAGCTTTACCTTAAAGGAAGATCGAATAGAAATGTGAGTAATTATCACATTTTTGACATTTTATTGAGTTGCGTTTAATCTTGCTATTCCAGTTTAAAAATCCTTTGTTGAAAGTATGTCAGAAAAAGGTATCAGGACGACTTTTAACCCCCTCATCCAGCTCACAAAGATAGAGAAACAAGGAGAGGATATAGGTGTCATTACCAAGACTTGATGAACATGGAGAGCTACCATTCTTAGATTGCTTAGTGAAAAGAAATATAAATGGAGTTCTAAATTTATCCATCTACCGAAAGCCCTCACACTCCAATCGTTACATCGACTTCCATTCAGCACATCCTTTCAGTGCTAAAATTTCGTTAGCCTTAAATCTTGTTAGAAGAGCCAACAAGATCATCACTTCAGAAGAAGACAAACAAAAAGAACAAAAGAATATAATTAGCATCTTACAATTTAATAATTTTCCTATGAAGATTATTAGAAGTATATTAAAACAAGACAATTCAATACACAATAATAATAATAATTCGAATGAACTGCCATGGATTGGTACTGCAGTCTTACCATACCGTCATGGCACAACTGAAGAACTCCAACGGATATTAAGACAACACAGAATTAAAGTATATTACAAAACAACTAACACACTTCGAAATACTTTAGTTCGATTAAAAGAAAAAATACCATTCATGTCGACACAGAACTGCGTCTACAAATTAGGTTGTGTCGATTGTGATGCCTTCTATATTGGAGAGTCATCTCGCGAAATCTTAACGCGCGCTAAAGAACATATCAGGTACACAAAGAAACCGCCTAATAATCCTGTAGAATTAGATAGACTTCAGATTAAATCGGCAATAGCAGTTCACGCCATTTTCAACAGTCATCAAATTGATTTCAAAAATATCAAAATACTACAAAAAGGTTTTTCTAACTACAAAGAAAGAAGAGTAGCAGAAGCTCTCCATATAATGCTTAATCCTACGGCCCTCAATAGAAAAGAAGGCCTTACCATACATCCCACTTGGACTATCTATCCTAGTCAACCAGTCTAATATTATTTACAATCTCACACCATTACATTACAAATTAAACTCTATCCTTTGTCATTACAAAGGTCACACATTTTTCGTCATTAACAATGCATACATACACACAAAATTACATACATATCCCTTATGAATCACTTTGAACGAAATGAAATGACGTGACATTGATTTATTCAGACCGGTTTTTGATTGATCACCTAATATTCTTTGATTGTTCCGTTGTACTATTTAAACTTGGATTAATGTTAATTTGGTTATTTATTCTCTGAAGAAGTGGCTTACACTGAGTCACGAAACGTCAGAAAATCTAATTTTTCTACTCATTGGGATATTACAAATATATAATTTATTTATAAGGAGAGGATATGTTCATTTGCATTATTTATGTAAGAGATAAGGTGTTTGTAAAGTCATATCACAGTAGAAATCGATAGAGACTGTGAAGTATAAGAAGAAGAATACTTGGAACGTGGAAAAACACATAAATCGTACACTTGGTGATAAATATAACAATGAACATAGGAGAGGATGTAGTGAAGTTTCAACTTATCATACGCATGGATACCTCCCAAACGAACACAGTCATTAATGACAAACAAAGAAACAGAAGTGATAGGTGTATGGTTTTAACAACTCAGAAAATAGAACGCCAATGGAAACTTGAAAATAGGTATCAGGTAGACCCAAAGAAAAATCATATTCTACAAAAGAGAGAATGTCCTCGTACCGTTTGAAAATTCCTTAGTAACGTTTATAAAGTTAAGGCTGAAAACTCTTTGTCAAGTCATTATACAATAGAGATTTCCCCAGAAAGTTTGAATAAACGATGGATTGTATGTCGTATCCTGATTGGTTATTTACCAACTTGTAACTATACTTAGTCTGTTTCCTAAATATTCCAGAATATCCAGCTTTCAGATGAAACAATAAATATATTTGTTTTCCGTATCTAAACTTATCTTGAGCGTAAAACATTTTTCCTGCTTCTCTTTTTTTATCTTTCATTCAGAGTTCAACTGTAGGAGATTCTGGGGATCAGTAACCTGTTAGAAAGTCATTAGGAAACATTTGGGCGCTAGATATATCAAAACGTACATAAAACCTATCTTCTGAATTGTTGGACGTGCCTGAATATCTCTGAATTGCTTGATAAGCTATCGTTCTGACTTAATCTAGCAATCATAAATGTATCTAATTTGAAGAATAGTTCACTTTTCAGATTTCTTTATAACGTACAAAACTTGCAACCGTCCATCATAGGGTTCCATACACAGAGATGAAGTTCCGTAATTAGTTCTTAAATATTTCTGAAAAACAGAAGTTTCATGTAGTTAAATTCGTAACTTAAACTTTTGCTTTTCATTACTCTGTATGTGAAATCAATTTAATTTAATTTCGTGTATCCATAGCGTTTGGCAAATTGTTCAGTAATGTTATACACCTTATCTATTTTCTGGAATAGCTAACAACCAACCGTTATTACAAAACAACAGATTTGTACACCTCACAAGCAAACGCTTACAATAGGTTTAAATTCAAAGAAAAGGTGGGTAAATGCTTTATATGAAACAAACGTAAATAAAATTGGTTCTAATACAAATAATGTAATGGGTCTTATTATGTTTTGTCCGTTGTGATATTATATTTAATGTATACTTACATTTTCACTTATCAATTGAAAGTACTGTCTACATGCTTTGAGCAAAAGATTACATTCTTTTATCGGAATAACAGCCTGGCCAATGGTGAATTGTGATTTTATACCTTTTCTAGACCATAACTTTATTACAATAATTTTCTTGTTTAAATCACTTCTATGTACCGTAAAACAAACACTAAGATCGAAAACTGCATCTGTTCCATCCCATTTATTGTCACCAGATACTTTGAGATTATATTTGATATTGTCTGGAAGCAACGAGATTGTAGCATGACTAAAACATACATAAGCGATAAAAAAAATCGGATCACTTCAAGATAGCTGTTACATCATAGGTTTTACAGTTTAACCTTGTTAACATTGAAACAACAACAAAATGTACATTCAAATTATCATCAGTTTCGAAAATGTTTATCTAAATGAAACACTGGCAGCAAATGCGCTAGATAATAATGACTTTAATGTCCTGGTATTTTGTATTGGTAACTCTATAGCTGTTAAAATCAGAAGATAATATATATTTATACATTGATAAGACTATTCTGCTTACTTTCAGACTAAATCGACAGTCATTCAACTATATTATATGATATTAAGATATTGAGTTTCCTATAGAAATGTAAGCAAAAGTTGCTACATGAAGCATCAGCATTTCTAAGCTAAAAGGGACTCACTGAAAACGAATAGCTTACAAAATTAGTTAAAATACTGAACAATCATTTAAACAAATATTCAAATGGTTCAACTACTTTCTTGAAGATTCATTGTAACTTCGGTAAATGCGGAACTGCAATATGCTTATCTAGATCTTAAACATTTTCAATTATTACATCCGTACACTAAGATACCATGATTTTGTTAGCATACAACGTGTAGAACCACACTTAACAAACTATGGTTCAATTATTATTTAAATAAAACTCCTTCCTGTTATGTCCTGATAACAAGCGTGGATGGTAACTTTGGGATCCATTTATGGAGCAATATTATGCATTTATTTTTTTTATGATCGCTAAATAACTAAACTATCCATATCCATCTTCCTCATATTATGAGCTTTATTTTGAACTACAAAATATTGTTATATGATTTGCTATTCAGGAATTACACCCAGTCTATTGATTACTGTTCCCCTTATGCACAGCAATATTTGGCTAAATCTTGTACACATGTTATTTTCTATTTTATGGTGCGATGTGGTCACTTTGATTGGTATATAAACTCAGTATGTTTGAAACATTATGATTCATACCACAGAGGCTATTCTGGACTTAACTGGCTGGGCTAGGCAGAAAGCAGGACCGATAAGTACTCTAGACTGTTTCCGTGTATCACTGTTCCAATTAATAATTCACTGTTCTCTGATTGGCGGTCTTATCACGTCACACGTTTACAGGGCATCCACTCGGCCACAAGTCATAACACTTTCATTCGCATTTACAAACAACATTGTAATTATGAGTGATGACTTAGAATGTAGAGCAAATGAATGAATATAAGTGGTTAAAAGTTAAATCATTTAAGGTCATTAAAGAAGATAAGTTACTCGAATGGAATATCAGATTTGACAATATCATATATAGTCTTACGGTAAGCCAATTTTGTATTTTTCATGTGCTAACTTATTAGCAGCCCATAAACTAACTCCAAGTTGTTGATCTTGAGTATCGTATTCCATGGATACATCAATTTCACCATGAGTTACTTCATCCATTTCATTGGAGGCTTTATATTGATTGGATTTAAATGATTTATTCTAGACATTAAGATTAACAAAATAAAATCAAAATGTATGTTACATTTTGTATTACTATTTCATGAGAAAATCATTACGGATGTAAAATGTTTGTATCCAAATTAGTGTTATGAATTTCTGTAATTTTATAGAACTATGAAACTGATTAAACATTAATTTTTAAATTAAAAAGAAATGGGGGTTTTTGTGGAGATTTTTAGCAATTTTTTATATATAGTTGAAATCATGAGTCAATTGAAGCTAGACCACCATGGAAAACCTGGAAGCACTAGACGGCCGTTTCATCCTATTGTGGTGCCTGTTGGGAGATATCGACTCACTGAAGTCATTGGTGAAATAGTTGCTCACCTTCGTGGATTGGTTGAAGTTCGACATTAACACCGTTGGATGCCAGCTCAATGGTTCTGGAGGTTATGCTTTCGCACGCGAGACTGGTAGGTCCTGGGTTCGAACCTCGCGAGGTGGGATCGTGGATGCACACTGCTGAGGAGTCCCACAATGGGATGAAACGGTGCTTCCAGGTTTTCCATGATGGTCTAGCTTCAATCGACTCATGATTTCAACTATATATAATAAGAAATGGTTATATTCATTATCAATTGTGGGATAGTTTATTCTAACCACTGTACTAAACAAGAAAAGATTTACTTATGATGGTGTTTTATGGTAGTCTAATGATATGTTTCATTAAAAATGAAATTGAACTTAACAAATGTTTCATCATCAAAAATAAGACTTAACTACAATGTAAACTAATAAGTTCATCTGACAAATGAGATGGTGTCTCAATATATCTCAGTGATAAATTCAAGTGATTCTTATTTTCATATTTACTGAATAGGTCTATTGAAAAACTTACAAATTGTTCAGAAGGCAAGTAGTTAAAGAAATTTGGTATTAGTATATTGCTTTTAATAATAACTTGCAAAATCAAAACATTTTATAGTTAACAATGAAATACATTATATAATCTGTGTTTGAACGCTGAACTCGGATCCTAAGCTAGTCTTGTAACCCCCAAGCTAGTACTACACAGAGACTTGAACACAAGAGAAAAGGCGCAAAATATACGAGAAGCACTTTATTACAAAGGTTCATTTATGTACAGAAAATATATCGTTTTTATAGTATTTTAAAAGGCCTTGGGTTTTCCTGTAAATTCTGGAATGCTACTAAACATAGTAGCAATGTAGTTATAAGCTAATCAGAACCTTTACATGTGACTTTTCATTTTCACAATATTTCTAGCAAAACTTCTAATCAAACGCTGATTGGATAAAATGCTACTTAATGTTTCCTGAGCTTGTCATGTCTATTGCGAGTAATTTTCAGGATCATCCCAACAATCTGCTTATCTAACTCTAACATATATGAAGTTTATTGTTTTATTAGTCTGATTATGTACGAACATTTTGTTTTGCATAATAGTTAATTCTGTGAAATAAGTGACAGTAATGTATTCACAATGTCTTTGCCCAATAATTTTAATGCAGAAAAAATAAACAAGATATTCAGTAAATGGAAATTATTCTTCTGTCTAAATTTTTTTTATTGACTACTATTCGTAAACTACAAATCACATGGAGATCTATAGAAGGATTGGCAAGTAATCAACTGTCAACAGATATCAGATGATCATATTTCTCAATAATAATAATAATAATAATAATAACAAAACGTAGAGACAAAACGTGTTGTAGAAAATGTATAAACAAAGTATAAAAACAGCTTAGGTATAATTGAGAATGGAACAAGTATGAAGTATGGGATTTTTAACTACTATGATGTGTTAACGTTGCTTTAGACAAAAAAAGTATAGCCCATCGTCCAAAAATATAATTTTTAATTAATCATACGCAATCAGTTTGAAGAGGCCGATATAGGCCTTAGTTCACGTTCTGAATCGTTAAGAGGAAATTTAAAAGACCGACACAATCATAATATTGATGTATTCAGTCATAATAAAATAGTTACATAAATACAACTTCTGTTGTGTTTATAAATAAATCTTATAATGAGGTTAAACCAATTATTGTTTTAAATGATAGAACAGATCAAACAAAGATTGAATAATGATTGATAGTATAAAGATGGATTAAATAATTTCTTATTTCTGTTGATTCAATGTAAAATCATTTTGCTAAACTGTATTGCATAACATTGCATCGATGATATTTGGAAGCCGAATTCTTGAGTGATTGAGTTATCCTTCTTAATTAAATTCTTACATGTATAAATTAATTTTACTGTATTAGTATCACTTATTTTAGGCTGTCAAATATAAAATGTGTTATAACAAACAGTTAAAATATTTATTTATTTATATAAACACATAAATGTTGGTACAAAGGGGCACCAGATACATATGCCCCACACAAATTTCATTTGATTTGTTTGAGGGATGTGATACTGCCCAGGTGCCCAAACTGAAGCAGATGGTTTTCTTAGGGGACCACACACGGAGCCTTTGACCTAAAGGTCTGATCTATAAGACAGTGGAGCATCGTGAGGAGATGCAATCCCATGGTAGCAGGTGACCAACAATTGGTTCACGCGCCATTTGTTCCTTCAGGATACTGGGGCCTATGTGCACCATTAGTTTGGAATCAGGGTTTTCCAACTCCCCTAGGTGGACCCTTCGTATCCACCAACCCAGTTAAAGGGCCGAACATTCTCTTTTCGTTCTCTCAATTCCGTAAACAACACCCCCACCACGAGAAGGCATTGAGTAGGAATTCCCTGGAAGAGGCCATATACGCGTGGCTATGTGAGAGCATTTCGAGAAGGAGAGCGGACTCTCCCCACTCTCGGCACTAAATGATATTTTTATGGGTAAATCATTATTTAATGGTAACATTATCTACTCTCAAGTCCTCATATTTACTGCATTGATTTGGACCCCAGGTACTGACTTCAACAAATGAAATAGACATAAAATCCAATCATCTAAATCATTACTAATCAATGTAGGTGGAGAAAACTAATAAGATGTAAACTGTAATGCGATAAGTCATTTATATAAGAACTTTCGTCTAAACTAGAGCAAATAGTTTCACAGTATTTGAGCGCTGAGTTGATGTAAGACATTAATTAAGAATAATATATTTGTAAAATCTCAGCGAATGAATTTTAATTAAATCCAACGTTTCGCCTGGCAATCTGGTTCAAGCTTTTTCAAGGAATTATAATCAAACATCAAAATTATCGAATATAAATAGTTACATGGTTCTTCGTTTCATTGTACACTGAATAGGTCATCTAATCAACGTTAAAAATGTCTAAACTAGGTATGTGTATTAGTGTATAAGAGATGTGTGATGTGAAATGATAAGCGTTAATATAACATATTGTATAGAAAACGTAAGTGGTGAGAGGAGAAATTTCATTCACACTATATATTGTCTCTTATCGGTGAATTTATAAGGAAACATGCAATTTGTAATATATATGATATGAATGATATCTGTCACAGCATGTATAAGATGTAGATAATTAAACAAAATAAAAATAAAAGAGTGAAATTTGAAGATTTTAATTTGAAACTGAATGTATGTGTCATTTCTAATCTTCCAGTTAATTGTTTAACAAATTCCGATAGAACAAATGATTAGAATCCTTGAATGTAATTGTTGTCATTTAGATAATACGAGATAGGAGTTCAGGTTTTTATTTATTAATGATTAGCTGCAATGGGACGGCTAATTGTATTCAATCCCTCCTATTAATATTGTTTGGATTAGACCATATGTATAGGGCTTCAGTTGTCTGTTTTTCTTTGTAAGAATTGAAATCTTTTTGAAGGATTCTCGTTCCAACGAAATCAATTGCATCGAGTGTAATGCCATCGCTGACTTGTTCTCCAGTTTCCTTACATCATCTGAGGGCTTAGGAATGTGCTTCAAGCATTATTTGTGTTCCTTCACCCTAATATTCAGTTGTCTTGATGTTTCACCAACATACATTGCATCACAGTCACTACATCTGATTTCATAGATACAATTCTGTTGTTCTTCTTTGTGTATTGGATCTTTAATTCCTACTAGTTTTGATCTTAGAGTATTGTTTGTTTGAAAAAATACTCTTATATTCTGAATATTTAGGATTCTTCTAATGTCTTCTAAACACCTTTCCGATATGGGGTCACCACTGTATTAACCCCTTCTTTTTTCTTTCATTCTTTTGTATTACTAGTGCCGTTTTTTCTTTCATTCTTAATTATTCTTTTAATAAAATCCTTCGGATAATTGTTCATCATTAGAGTAGATGTAATTAAATTAATTTCCACTTCCATGTCGCTTGGTTCAGTGAAAAGTTTTTTGGATCTTGTGATCATATTTTTGGCCACTGTCACTTCGGTCAAGTGTGGATGTGCCGACTTAAAATCTAGAAATTTCCCTGATTTATTTCAAATTCATTCGCTGAGATTTTACAAATATATTATTCCTATTTTATGTCGATAAGTCATATGTTGTTAGATTGTTCAATTCTCTACATGTAAAATCCCGGTTCTTAAAGTTTATTCGATAAGAAATTCATATATAACTGATTTGTGAGCTTGGAGAAGCTTTTAGCCTTTCGGAGATTTAAACATGAATTCTGAAGTTTAATGGAGATTTTGGTTTTTCATCTTATATCAGATCCATTGCACCACGAAGTTGAGTAACTACTCAATAGTATGAGTAAAAACATTCAGTATGTGTTAAAAAAAACTAGCGGTTTGATAGGTTTAGTGAGTTAGCTTCACAAATGCTTCTTAGTTAATAAAGAATACTTGTATTTTGTATTATAAGTAAAATCTGTTTGCTGCTGATCTGACAGAACATTGATAGACTTTTTACTCGGCACAGTATACTACTTTGTCACAGTCAGTAGTTTGAGCTGCTTTAAATAGTTTTTATGTGTTTTAAAATATTATATATATATATATATATATATATATATATATATATATATATATATATATATATATATACAACGAGTGTAATAAATTAATAATTTTTGTGATTTTTTCAGGTTTACACCACAGTCTGATCTTAGTTAGGCGACCTTCAGAACCGTAAGGCTTTAGACATAGTGTGGGACTCCACAAATATGCTCATTTATAGTCATTATAGCCTTAATGCTACTTCTATGAAATCTGAACTCCATAACTCTCAAACCTAGCTCACTGTAATTGCTGATTTTGTAGCTTAACATCACAACATTTTTTCCTTATAGACTTTTGATAAGTGATGCCACTGAATTCTCAGACGTTCACATAAAGAACATTTGTCCCTCCAGTTTAAACTTTTAACATTGCTATTAAATTCCGTACCAGCTGTAGACAGATTTGTAGCTTTTTCAGTTTTTATCATTGTTTTGTTTTCCATAAAATCATGATACTTCCAGAAACACCATGTCTTCTTTTCTCCTGATTCATTTTCTCATTCTATGTGTCAGGCGCCTCATACATTATCTAAAAAAAATAAAGCTATTATGACTTTTATCAGCATAACTGAATTCATCAAATTGTCCTACATATAGTCTTCCTTAGGACGGATAAAGTAATTGTTGATTACTTGTAGCTGTAAATACGCATACTGGAATCGTGAAGTTACAAGTTACCGAAAAACAAATAGGAGTATATAACTTTCACATGTATGGTTAAAGCAGTCAAAAACGAAATTTTAGGTTTACTCGCAAATCATGAAACATCGAATTATTATGTGTTAAATAGTGATATACTCACTTTCTTCACTAGTCTTTTTAGTCGTAAAAGGTGTCTTTTTCTTTTAGATTTTTCTTTGAACTCTTCATTGTCTTTCAATGAAGCACTTGTTCCACTCAAATAATCATATGACTGAGAACGAGAAAGTATTGATTGCTCTAAGAAACCAGATAAATTTTTACCGATTGTACTGTGAGAGCCAGATTTTATATATTCCCATGAGTTTTGAGTTTTTAAAGTTTGTGGTGACTTAGATCTTGATATTTGTCTTCTTTTTACTGAATGAGTTTCTTCCATTAACTGATTATCATTTAATTTAAGTAAAAAACCATAAATATTATATGAAAAGGTAAAATTAAAAAAATTTGTTTTAAATGTGTACTATGTAATAATAGTAATAGTAATAGTAGTAGTAATAAGAATAGTAGTAGTAATGTACTGAAAGAGAGCACATTATGGGAACAACTAAGTCAGTCTCAACATAACATTACAAAATATCTTGATAAAATCGGAGAACCATACATTAAATACTTCATTCGCAAAATATCCTCTAATTATCTCATATTTTATCGTTCCTTAATTATTATACCAATCACTCTCTCTTCTCGTTCTATTCTCTTTGATTTTCTCGACCTTCGGCTGTCAGGTTTTCCACTTTCGACGTCAGCCAGTGAAGTAACGGCATCTTCATTAGTAGGTACAGATATGTACAACTGAAATTCAAGATCTTGCAATATAACACAGAGAACAATCCAATCGCTTGATAGAGAAACTCTGGAAAAGGTGGAAAGTTTCAAGTACCTGGACAGCATCATCGATAGACAAAGAGAATCTGACTCAGATATGAAGACATGCATTGACAAGACATTTGCATGAAATTGTGACATTCATTCCATTTCATGCTATAATGATAACTTTTTATCATTTTTGACAGTTTCTTTGATTTAAGATCTTTCCTTATTTCTCAGTTTCTGTATTTTTGTTTGCATTTTCTGTTTCGATTGTTGAATGTGTAATATATTCGAAATCTTAAGTTGTCACTTTCTAGCTTCGATTAAGATTGCCTTTATCTGAATTATATATTCTTGCTCGGTGTTGTTGATTGTCCTAATTATTATGTGTAAATGCATCTTATGTGTTCACCGGGACATCGAATTACTTTTTCACCCATTTATCTCTCTTCCGAATTCTCAAAGACTCCATGACCCTCAAACTAACATAACACACAACCAACCTTTTAGTTAAATGAAAACCTACCAAAATCTGAGTATTATAGCTGCAATTGTTTTGTCCAAACAATAATTGGCTATTACATAACTAGTTTATCGTATATTTTATACATAATTCTTATATGACCAATTCAGAAAACACCTTTCATTCGACTGTACATTGATACTGTAAATGCTTTAAATGCCTCACAAATTGAAGTTTGTTAATGTATTACTTACATTGTAATAAATAATCTCATCGTATTTTGAACATATCTCGTGTCTTTATTCCTGCATTTTTACGTGTTAGTCATCTGGTTAGAAGTATCAATCAAAATTAATAGTAGCGTAACCGTTTTTTAAATACTTTGTTGGTGTAATTATGAAGATTAAAACATAATGATTATACTAAATGCATTTTTACTACTGATCACAACTTATTATCACGAGATGTGATTCTGTCAACAGTGTAAACTAGAATGTTGTTTGTTTAGAAAACTTCAATCAATTTTCGTGAACAGAGTTGGAATTTGAGTTATCTGCCGACAAATTTCTTGCTTAACAGTCTACTTACAATTGTTATGGTGAAATGGATATTTAACTGAGAATGTTCAATGGGTTATTTGTTATCGTTTGACAAATAACATTAGATCACTTATCGATTTCTTTCACGCAAGATCTATTTTTTCTTCAGCATGTTTGAATAAAATAACAGAAGTAGAGAAAAAACTTGATGAACAAGTTAGGAAGTAATTAGTGAGTACAAATAAACTACACTAAAAGGTTCCTAACAGAAGTGTTCCAGGTGCTATGTTTGGAGAGATTACGAGATCACCCAAAATCGGTGGACGGAACAAAGGATCGTCGACAAGACAACGACAAGACAAGCCTAACTATTCTGATGCTTCCTAGTCCCTTTAAAATCCTTCTCTTCTTTCCATTAGACTTTACAATCTTGGCTAGATGATATAATAGTTCTATCAAGTTTCAATTAGAAAATCAATTAATAAACCGTTATTTCAGAAGTATTTTATTCTTCATAAATTCAATCTTGCAAATACAACTATGATTTATAAGGATATAATGACAATACTCAAGAAATTCACAGATGAAGTCTCTTAGTTGCTCAATATGTTTTATATTATGTGACTGAAGTTTATCAACCCCAATGTACATAACAATAATTAAATAAGTAGATGAAAAATTAAAATTAGGAACTTGAGACTTTATTAGTTTAGGAAAGTGTTATTTCATAGTCAAGTGGATCTACTCCTTAGCATCACAAAAACATTCTTTTGAAATTTTAGCATTTTAACCTCTTAAAATGTCTATTAATTATCATCTACAAGTCAGTTCGTTCGTAGTCTAAGATGATTTCTTAGTAACAAAGTTTCTCTTATGAAGTGTATGAAGAAAACATAAAACTCACCTTTTCATTCAATGAGCTCCTCTCATTCTTATCATCTGAAAAAAAGGTCAGTGGTTGAATTACAATGAAGCATATTGTTGAATATAATAATGAGAAAACTGATGACCATATTAAAGTGTAGAATAAGCTTTCATCGATAAAGTTTCGGTAGTGATTCATGAATCGATTTCTTAACTGATTTCAGACTACAGATTAAATACAGTTTCAATATTGTTATGTAACTTATTTTTTTTTACCTAATCACTTAGAACTAAATATAATACACAAAGGAGTTCAGAGCTTAAATTTAAATTATTTCGAGTAATGGTAAACTTCTAGTGAATAAGTCAGTTGATCATTACATGGACATTGTAAAGTAACAATACTGATTTCAATTTCAGAGTTGTACATAGTTGTTAAGTTTTTGTTGAATAACTGTAAGCGATAAGTGAATAATAAGCCTATTGTATCCATTACCTATGAAGACAGAGCCAACTAAACAGAGATCAGTGTCTATTACAAAGTCATAATTCTTTTTATGAATGTGAATGTACATAAAGGGAAATTTTAATGAGAACTGGAAATGAGTAATAAGTAAGTCTATTTTATATTTAACTATGTTCACATAATTTACTTCTTTCTTATCATGATATGTAGAGTATATAATGAAGACTTCAACCTTTAGCGAGCGGTTCAACTGACATAGAAATAATTAACAGTCATAGACATATAACGATAAAAGTTTACTTAATCCTTATTTTTAATTTTAATTAATGAATTGATCAGTTTCAATTTCATTATCAACATCTAGATTAGACGTTTGATTATAACCCTCATTTATATTATAAGACTTTTAATGTAAGTTATTACACAAATACAAAGCATATATTGTTGGTTTGGATCTCACGAGACTGGATTGTAATGCGTACGGCTGAGGAATCAAACAATGTGACGAATTGACCGTCCAATGCTTCCAAGTTTTCCATGGTGGTCTAGTTTCAATTGATTCTTGATCTCAACTATTACTTAAGACGTATTCACAATTAATACAATATAATTTTTTTTTGAATAATTATTCCAGTGCTTATGAAATTTATTGTTTAAATGATACTTTGGATAGATTTGTCATTCAGTAGTTTATTTTATCCATAGTAAACAATGGGTTCTTATTTATTTTAAAATCAATTCAGTTAGTATAAAGAGGTGTTATTAACAATTTCATTTGTTGTACGAATTTCAATATTCATATCTTTGGATAAACTATATATTTTTAGACTAATAACATCCCAGTTTTTATATAAGACAGTGGGACTTTGAACGTTTTAAAAATGTTTATAAATGGGAATTCTATTTAAAAGAAGGTGACTTACTTAGTTTAAAAGATGAGCTCTACAAAAGAATAATAAAAGCATTTAATGCCTGAAATAGCTAAAATGGAAGTTATACTAATCATCAACACCTAAACTACTATCTATACTACTTAAATTATATTACTGATTACTTTAACTCCATACACTTAAAATTCAGTCTATATTATATACAGTTTAGAGACAACTACATGGTGATTGATGTTTTTAATTATAAAAATTGTAAAGAATTTTGTAGTGACGTTGGCTTTTTTCATAAAAAAGTATATTCAAAGTGCTATGTGAAGATTTATAAAGTTTTTATATTGACTAAACCTTTATCCATGATTATTGAATATTCAATTACAAAGCAACTAGTACAGTTCTGTTCATTGACATCATATGATTAAAATGTCTACTAAAACTTCGTATGTATACATACATATAATAGAAATACATAGATTCAATTAGCTTTTTCATAGTGTTTTGAATATCCATACCTGTACTCTACTAGACTTTCAGACTTTTTAAAAAACACCTAAAGTTATACTTCACTTACAGCATTAGTAATCTTTTGTAAATCTGATATCACATGAAATATTTCAAAACACTTATTGAAAGCTTCCAACCTATGATTTATGCTGTTTGTAGCTTTAGCCCTAAAGTTGAATTCATTGAATTTCAATCGTTTAATTTACACGTATTACATATAAGATTGAGTTAGATGTCATCTTGAAAATTTATTTACATTCAGTTAAATGCATATAAAATGATAACTAACATCTTACTGTCAGAAATATCTATACTCATCCTTATAATTAACCATCACAATTGGTTTACCAACAGACTTTTATTCATGCAGATATTGTGCTGATCAAAGATTAAGTCTCTTTTTTTAAAAATTCAGTTATAGTTATTGATAACTATTTCAAAAACGTGTAATAACCTAATTTTTCAGCCTCGTAGTTGAGATTCATATTTATCAATTATCAAGTTACATTATGTGAAGTGATATAATGAAATAGCCAATAAATAGAAAGTAATTACATAATTAGTTTATGCATATTTCATACATTTATGTACTACATAGTACTCACGACAATATTTTTCGATGAATTATTCAATTTTGAAAACACTTCACTCTCTAAAATAGACATTTACACAAAAGACAATATAGCGATTAAATTATACAAAATGATGTTTATGACAATAATTTATAGCTTTGTATTTCTTTTTCAGAAATGAATCTCACGGTAGTCTACATTTAAGTGGTTAGCAATGGGATTCAAGAGACGCATTTCATCCCATTTTGAACTAATCTGTTGAATATACCTACTTCTCAGTAGTGATATTCACTATACTACTCAAACCTAATATATTTTGCTTAAAACTCCAGATAGTTATCCATTTAACTATTGAATTCAGATAGACATTGGATTGTCCAACAGGGAAAAATTTTATTTTACTTTTCAGTGTTTGAATCTTCCCACTGTTAATGTTGAAAACTGGAATTGATCACTCTTATTTATGTACTTATAAATGATTCCTGTGCAGATCGTTTCGGCATTCCTATCAAGTTACAAGCACTTTTATGCAAAGTTGGATGTTTACTAGCAATATTAATCTGTTGAGTCGGCTTCCGGAGAACTTTAACAGACCCTCCAGGGGCTCATAAAGAGCCCCAACCAATCAGAGATTAATTAGAAGTTGTATGAAGTTGTCACTAAAATAACGAGATCCTGATTGGCTGATAAACACACTGCTACTATGTTCATCAGTATTCTAGAACTTTCGGTAAAACTCAAAGTCTCTTAAATTACTATAAAATCCCTGTATTTTTTGTACATAAAGGAACCCTGTAGTAAAGTGCTTTCCACACACTTGTGCCTTTTCCCTGGTCTTCAAGTCGCTGAGTAGTTCTAGCTCGGGGGTACGGAACTAGCTTAGGGAAGCGAGTATAGCGTTCCTAACCGACCAGATGTAACATAATCCAATCCACTCATGATGCATGTATATGGAATAGATTGATCAATTGCAAATCTTTACATCAACATGAAAACTTTAAAGCGTAAAAAATGAAATAATTTTCATTAAATTAATATTCATTCCAGTAATTTAATAATCATCATTTAGAGTTAAGGTACCTGGAGATTATTGAACATCTCATCATAGTGACTACTATCTATAATGAATTTTTTTTTAACGTTTAATAATTGATTTTCAATTACTAATTTGGCGACTGTTAAGCATCTAATAAAGTACCCATGAACTTAAATTGAAGTTAGATATTCAACAAGATAAAATAACTATTCTTTCATTTTCATGGTTTGTAAACTGATCACTATAAATTCGGCTTCAAATATTATCTAATGTATATTCGACAAAGTAGTCGACAAAACTCAACAAAAAACATTCTGTTCATGAAATATAATTCACAAAACTTCACCAATAAATCCTATTATCAAAATAATAGCTACAAACTGTTGTTATTGCTTCATCTTTGGACCATATGTATACAATCCGGGTTCTGAACTCCACTGAAATGAACTGATAAATTATTTATTGAATACTTTTGTTTTTTTTCTTTATGCTCTTCTCTGATTCTTCCATTAAAACAAAAGCTATCAAAAGCATGGTAAGCAAAGATGGATAGTGGCTAGCAGTAGAATTCAAGACGCGCGTTTCGTCCTATTTGTGACTCGTCAGCCGGATGTACCTGCATCTCAGAGTTGATGTTCACTCTGAGACTCGAACCCAGTACCCTTCGCTTCAAACGCCATCGCGTTGTTCACTCAACCACTGGGTGAAGCTTCACCTCATCGCACAAGCAAATGACTATCAGGACTCAGTGGCCGAGTGGATAACGCCATGGCGTTTGAAGCGAAAGGTACTGGGTTCGAGTCTCAGAGTGAACATCAACTCTGAGATGCAGGTACATCCGGCCGACGGGTCCCAAGTAGGACGAAACGCGCGTCTTGGATTCCACTGCTAGCCACTATCCATCTTTGCTCATCATGTTTGTGAATTAATACTATATTGAGGCAATACGCACAGTATGCACATATGCCAATTAGAGACTGACCAGTTGCAGTCCGAAACACATCGATGGGAAGATCCAAACAAACAATACCAAGTGAATTCAAACTTCACCTCATCGCACAAGCAAGTGACTATCAGGACTCAGTGGCCGAGTGGATAACGCCATGGCGTTTGAAGCGAAAGGTACTGGGTTCGAGTCCCAGAGTGAACATCAACTCTGAGATGCAGGTACATCCGGCTGACGAGTCCCAAATAGGACGAAACGCGCGTCCTGGATTCCACTGCTAGCCACTATCCATCTCTGCTTACCATGCTTGTTAATTAAGACTATATCGAGGCAATACGCACAGTATGCACATATGCCAATTAGAGACTGACCAGTTCCAGTCCCAACACATCGATGGGAAGATTCAAACAAACAATACTAAATGAATTTAAAAGTTATCACTGTCAAGTCATTGCATAAACTTACTTGCCTTACGTAGATTACTTTGAAGTGGTTTAAACCTTAGATCAACTTTTAACGGACTGGTTTCCTTTGTTTTAGTATAATAATTAAACCAATCACCGGTCTTACAGATACATTTCCTGTTATAAGAAAAACCAAAAGAAATTGTATAAAACGTTTACTTTGTTTCATTAAAATATTCATTCAATAATCAGTATAACGTAACCTCAAATGCCTTCTAGCAGCCAAACATATTATCGTTGAAGTGAATAAATATATTCACAACATTATCTTTATGAGTACCTCATTACAAATTAATAATGTTCAATTTATGATATTATATTACACCATCCACTTCAATTGACAAGTAGCCTGATGGGACTAGATTAGTAATCTGAATGTAGACTTATAATAAAAACTTGTGAAGTTAATAATTCAGAGGGGATTTTGTGGAGAATTTAGTATTTTCACAGTTGAAATCATGAGTCAATTGAAGCTAGACCACCATCGAAAACCTCGAAGCACTGAACGGCCGTTTCGTCCTAACATTAACACCATTGGATGCCGGTTCAGTGGTCTATCTGTTAAGGGCTTCGGCTCGAGACTGGTAGGTCCTGGGTTCGAATCTCGCAGGTGTGGGATCGTGGATGCGCACTGCCGAGGATTCCCATAATATGACGAAACGGCTGTCCAGTGCTTCCAGGTTTCCGATGGTGGTCTAGCTTCAATTGACTCATGATTTCAACTGTGAAAAAGTTAATAATTGTAAAAGCATTCATTGAATGAACGGACAATATTACTTGTAACAACTAATTTTAATGAATACTTAAGTTTATCATTATAAATTTTTTTAAATATATAGTTCAGTTTTATTTGTAATTAAAAAGCTGATATATATCAAATACATGTATCATTACTCAAACTATTCAATATGTTCCGTTTTAGGCAAACTCCAGGTTGGATATTTATTTCATACAACCCTGGTAATGGATATAATATTTCAAAATGTTTTAGAAACAACACTGATTTTATTATAGGTGAATAGTATTTTTAAAAAAATCTAAACTGAAATTCAAGTTTGTATTTCTAAGACTATTCAAATTGTTACCAAAGGAAATAGATCATCTAAACAAAAACAAACATTTCATAAAACTAATCTCTTAAAATTTATAAACAGTTGTTTATGCAAAATACTCAACATTCAATGGCCGAATACTATCAGCAACAGCGTTTTATAGAAGAGAACAGACCAGCTTCAATCTGAAGAGGGAATTAGGAAAAAACGTTGGAAGTGGATCGGATATACATAAAAGAAATCGTCAAACCGCATCATGAGGCAGATCCTTACTTGGAATCGTGAAAGGAAGTGGAAAAGAGAAAGGTCAAAGAACACATTACGCCGAGAGATTGAAGCAGATATGAATGTTAACTGGAAAGAACTGGAAAGGATTGCTTGGGATAGGGTTGGATGAAGAAAAGTGGTATGCAGCCTATGCTCCTCGATGAGGGGTAACAAGCGTAAGTAAGTAATCTCTTAAAATACGATTTAAAAAGATATGTTGAAGTCGTTACTTTCATAAACAAACAGACAATTTGAAAACAGAATAATACGATTCCAATTATGAATTAATTATGAACTATCAAAAGAACACATAAATAACTTATTGTTATGTTATTGAAAATAAGCTTAGTGATCTTGGAAACTTGTGATTTATTGATTTAAAAACTGAGTACTTTCGACTTTTTTTTATTATTTGTAACAATATTAAGTGATTGCTCAAAGTTAAATTATTCTTAGATCACTTGAGATTTTAGAAATCTTTACTTTGATATATGTCAAACAACATAGTTTGCTTAAATCTTTACTATCAATATATAAATTGAACTAATTCTCTTGACAATGTGTTAGTTAAAAAGTTTGTAGATAGAAGTAATTACAGTTCATTGATTATAATACCGTTTATATTTAGGACTATGTAATGCTTCACTTCAATTCAGACAATGTAATAACAATAAAGCTGTAATCATAATATCATCGTCAATTAGTACACTTTATCCAGAAATTATGTACTATGAAGTTGTTTGGGAAAAAAATGTTGGCTCTTCAACATTTCACCATTTTATAGGTTTATTAATTCGTCTTAGTAAAATGTATTGTTATTATGGGCCATTCTGACGGTCGATGAATTTTAGATATACATCATCGACTGATTTTGGTTATATAATAACTAAACACTAGAAATCAATAGAAAACTATTTAGATAACTAAAATAACTCATAATGTCATTGAATAAGAAAAAGAGAACTCAGTGAAGAAAATTTTCTTTTCGACGAAATCATTTACTTAAGTTGTACATTCGTATATATAGTAATATGGAAAATATATGTCTACAGGAAGCTAGAAAAGATTGCATTGTAAATGGATTCGACAATAAATAACAAATGAGGTGGCGTACTAATCAAGGGATAAGGAAGAAAATAATTTATGGGTCAGATAATAGTTCAATTAACAGATATGAAGAAAAGTGACAAACACAAAGATCATAATAATAATAATAATCCGAGTAATAATCAAGAAAACTTGTATAAGGTGATAATAATAATAATAACTGATTAGAGATTAAATGTAAAGTAGTAATTTAAAAAACAAAAAACCGATAATAATCAGATAAAAGTACAAAAAACGTACCCAATGAGGGAATTAGGGCCAAGGAAGGGTAAGAAATTGGACAAATCGTTTCTGCACGCAAAGTTCAGGCTTGAATTCATGGATTGCCAATGCCTCAGCAGTGCATAAAATATTGATTCGACCTCCCTTTGATCCGGTTCCTTTAACTCTATAGATTATTTTAAAAGTCGTCTCTTTTGGAGCAATGTGTCCGCAATTGATCAAGTGCTCTTGTATCGAACTGGTTATCTTCTTACAAAGTACTCAGACAGTTTCGTTGTTAAAAATCACTTAAATATTGTATATATCTTTTAGGAGCCAAGCTGGATAGTGTTCAGAGATACGTTTGGAAAGCGATCGCTTTGTGCGGCCCATATAACGTGCTCCACATGAGCAAGTAAATTTATAAATACACATCGATGTGGCCCAAAGCGAAAGCTTATCCTTAACACACCCCGGAATGGTAGGCCGGCTAGAGAAAACGATTCGGAGCTTGGCTGTGTAGAAAGTTTTATTCAACGTTTTTGAAATCCGTTTATTCAGGATTTCAGCAGCCGTGTCTCCCTTGAATTCCATATTCATAAACAAGGTTTTCTTCTGCACCGTCAAAGTTATTTGTTGCTGACGTCTAGATGTTAAGTTGTTATCAACGAACCTCGGTGGATAACCATTTTTGATGAGGGTCTGTCGAAGATGAAGTAATTCTTCGTTTATTGTGTCACTAGAACAGATTCGCTTAATCCTAGATGATAAAGAGTGAATTAAGTTCCTCTTTCGACTCAGTGGAACCCAACTATGGAAATTCGTGTATTGTCCATTCCAAGTGGGTTTTCTATACTTAGATCTTTGTAAATAACCATCAGGCAATCTTTTCAAATGGACATCAAGAATATGGAATTCGTGGTTCGATTCTGCCTTTAAGGTAAATTGAATTGAAGGGTGACAGTTATTGAAAATATTTAATATTTCATTGTGGTCCATGTTATCATCACAAATAATGAAGGTATCATCCATATATCTTTTAAATAAATGAAATTTCTCGATTATTGGACGAAGTGCTGAATTTTCTAGATTGGCCATGAAACAATCAGCCAAAAGAGGACCCAATGGAGAGCCCATCGCAACTCCATCTGTTTGTCTATAGAAACCATCATTAAATTTAAATTGTACATTGAGCGTGCATCGTAGGAGTAGTTCTTTCAGATAGTGTTTTGGGATACGTATCTCCAGATTATTATTTCCAATATAGTCACATAAAAAACAAATGGTTTCTGTGAGAGGAACATTTGTAAATAACGACGTGACATCTAATGAGAGCATTTTCTTACCCATTACGTTGATATTTCTGATTGAGTCGACAAATTCAAAGGAATCAAGAGCATTGTATTTGTTGATATGATTTTTAACAGGTTGTAAAATGTCAACTAACCATTTGGCAATAGAGTGATATGGAGAGTTGTTCATATCAAGTATTGGACGTAAAGGGACATTATTCTTATGAACTTTTGGGAGTCCATATAGTCTAGGTACGACAGAACCCGATGGTTTGAACTATTTTGTTCCAGGATGTGACCTCTCAATTCCGCATCCACTACTACATCAGGACTCAGACCCAGAACGTTCAAGTCGGGCAAAAAACACTTGTTTTTTAGGATTGGCATCAAATAGCCTACATTTCTAACTTTAGTTAATCTGTGATATTGAGCTGCCACAATTCATTGATACTGACTAAACCTATCTCAAACTTGAGATGATTTCACTTGAATTGTCACATTCCCTCACTAGAACTCCAGGAATAACCTAAGTCAGTTCATGATGTGAAAGCTAAAAAAGTGTCTTTACTATTATCCTATGTATACGACTGTTGATGGAATTTTGGTAATGCATGATATATTTTCCCTTAAGAGTACATTTTGACCTGGATTTTTATTACTTAACCATTGAAATAGTTCTATTCCCATATTTTCAAGTTATTTCAATTAAACATAAAAGTCCTCCTAACAATCTATTATTGTTTTTAACGCAGTATCAGTTTATTTATTGATTTTTTGCTATTGGTTTTAATTTGTTACTGGTTCTTATTTGTCATACTGATAATTAGAAAATATAAAAAAACAAAGAGTATTGCACAAGATAAAATGCTCTGGAAACTTTAGATGAAACTTCGGAGGTATATTTTTCAATTTTTCGATGTTTTCAACTGCAATTTGATGCTTCAGAACTGAAATTTAAAATTTGTGTTTATTACACGAAGCATCAATTGAATGTTTTAATACACTTTTAATTTAAAAAAGCTGCTCTTGTTTTGAGAATGTTCGACGATATAGTTTAGAACCATTCACAATGGCTGCAATGAACTAATATCGTGGTGAACGAGAAGACAAATAAGTACAATCTAACGTAATTGAACATAGAAGTACAAAAAATCTAATCGAAATTTCAGAACTATATAGTAAATATTTAATTTGCAAAATGTCAATTAGTTGACCTAAACTTGATTATTCCTTTTGCAAATGTCAATCAATCGTCTCAGACTTCACTATTCCTTCATTACCATACCATTTTCTTTTTGTTCATATTCTTTCCTTCTCGATCTTCTCAACCATGTGCTGTCAGACATTCAATTCGTAACTAGTGTTATATACTACTTATATCGATATAAGTAGCACACCACAATATAACTAAACATTATCATCTGTATTCACAAGCGCCGTTTTCAATTTATGAAACAAATTTTCATGTTTATTTCACGTTAATCGATTTTTGGTTGAACGATACAATCTGTTTTAGTTGTGAGAGTCAAATGCATTAAAGTATTGTATTAAGTTACTATTTGATGTTTCAAAAGTACGGAAGAAAAAGGATGATATATTGATCGAAATTATTATGGTTTTCCAAAGTCTTTTGATTAACATGTGATCCATTAGATGATTAATTAGTAAAAATCATTCCTTTTATATTTGTGACACATTATTGTATTTTATTAGTGTATCATCTGATGTTATGAGAATATAATGTAACATTCTATTCAGTCATAATAATTAATACTGCATAGTAATATTTTACTGATGTCACGATATGAACTTCGTTAGACAACCAATGAAAAGCAAGAAGTATATGAAACCTGTTTAGTTCTAATGAGTGACTCCTGTTCTATGGTTATACAACTGTCCAATACTTACTGGCTTTCATTGATCTCTAACTATGGACACTTCATGTTGTCGAAAAATGATAATCAACTTCACAAAGTCACCATGTTGTTAGATATATTTATTGATTGTTATTTCTCTCGTATTTGCATTTCTTTAAATTTATAACGGTCCACAGGTTCAACATATATATGAAGATCGTAGATTCTTCAGTTTGTTATGTGTCATCGCCCTTAGCTGAAAATGTCAGAATATGTATTGATGAATTTTCACATTTCTGAAACATTTATAACGACTAAATTTCCCGTTTTGCATGGTTTTGAGTGTTAGTAACTGATATGAAAACGTATAGAAATCACATTCAAAATTTACAAGACTTATCTTTTGATGTACCTTATTTAATGAATAGAAGAGATGATTGATAAAATATGACTGTTAATATTCGTTTCCGAAGGACAGCGTAACTTAATTAAGAAGGTTAAACATTGAAAATGTTTCTCAGCTGAAATTTTTTTCATTCTTAGTAATGCTAAACTCTGTACATAAAAATTTATTAAAATATTCAGCTCCTGCTTATACAATATCAAAAGAAAAACAAAGTACTCAGACAGTTTCGTTGTTAAAAATCACTTAAATATTGTATATATTTAGAATTCTATATACTATATATTCATGAAGACTGCTATTTACGATAGACGATTGCGTTTGAACAGCCATACGACTGTGTTGCCTTGTTTTATCCGCTAGGCATGTCAACCAACAGGAATTGAGACAAGATGCAATAGTTGTGCGGCATGGATTTAAAACAAGTTTATCGTTTCCGGTACTGTGAAACTCTACTGGTGACGACTTATCATTAGAATTCCTAAAATTTCCTCTTGAAGCTGGTCACTAGTAGGCACATGATAATCGTAAGTGTATAGTTTTTGAGATTGCTGAATCTCATTAAAATCTTGAACCTTATACTAACAACTAACATGTACTCGCTAATGAATAGCTCTAAGAGGAAATTTTCGGAGTTCTAATGAGTAGCCGTGACTAATCCAGTTCAAACGTGCCGAGAGTAACGCATTTACCTACCGAAGTAATATATCATTTTAAAAAAAACGTATTATGAATTTCATAGATATATCCTTCAATATCCTTAATTTGCATGAGAGTTCTAAATTTTGACAGAAGGATGTTAAAATATTAACCATATTTATCTCCAGTTTTTAAAATAAAGATAATACACTTAAAGCATCATCTTTATCTATCAAACCAAATTTTAAACCATCCTTTAATTGAGGAAACTAGTTTTATATATGGTGTCATAGTAATCAATTACAGACTGTCATTCAAATTTATTGTTGACTTTGGTATAGCATATGATAAGTTTATTACATTATAACATCGTTGCGAATTAATCATACTATTGAACGACATTTCTATTATCTGGGAATACTAATTTTCACATTATGAAATCATGGATTGTCAGTTTTGATTGGGATCATAAGATTAATTCATATTCTTTGAATAGTTTAATTTCATTTTATAATCATATTCATTAATACGAGACCTAATCAAAATTAACTGACAGAATTTAATATTCGAGTGAGAAAATTATGTTTAATCACCTAAGGATCTGTTATAGCATGGAAACAAAATCATATTTCTACTTGAAGCCATACTACAATTTGAAAATTGTTAATATAGTTTCATAGCATAACATAATTCATATAGAACTTAATGTAAACACATGTTTAGGTATCATTTGAATATACTAGCAAATAGAAAGAATTTTTTTTGATCGTTTCATATGATTCTTTCTGTTATAAATATTTCAATCAAGTTTATAATGTGATTTGAAAAACGTACACTTTGATTACAAGAAAATTTAGTCTTGATATGTGAGTAAATTAGAAAACCTAACCACACCTAGACAGCAGCATCATCGACCAATAGGGAGGATCTGATGTAAATGTTAAGGCGAGGATTAGAAAAGTAAAGATAACATTCCTGCAGTTGAATAACATACAGAACTCAAAACAACTATCTGTCAATCGATATCAAGGTCAGAATCTTCAATACCAATGTCAATATACTTCTACTGTACAGAGATGAAAAGTAGAGAACTACCACAAGCATTATCAAAAAGGTACAAGTATTTATACGGGAGAGAACAAACCAGCTTCTATCTGATAAGAAAATTAGGAAAAGATGTTAGAAGTGGATCGGACATACATTAAAGAAATCATCAAACTGCATCACGAGGCAAGTCCTAACTTGGAATGAAGGGAAGCAGAAAAGAAGAAGGCCGAAGAACACATTGTGTCGAGAATAAAAAGCACACATGAAAAAGATGAATATGAAGTGGGAATAACTGGAAAGGATTGCTCAGGACAGGGTTAAGTGCAGGATGCTGATGGTCATCCTATGCTGGTGTAAATAAGTAAGTACGTATATTGAAAGAACTAACTCATGTAAGTAAGTGGTAAAAGTAGTAATGTAAATGCCTTAGAATAGCAAAGTGAAATTAGTAAACATTCGAAGATCTTTGTTGTTCACAAATATCAAACTTCTTGTATATTTATCTATTTATTACTATTTGCCAACGAAATTTATCAACCATTTATTAAGAACCGATATTTTACATAGGTCCTAAATCTAGTTCCTTATAATGTGTCATAAAATGTCATTCATACCTTCGAATGTTTTGAATAACTCATTTACAACATTTTTATCTCATAAAAATGAAAAGACGTCGATGATTTGCTTTAGTGCTAAAGACAATATTTTAATTGTCTATATAAATCTTTTCTATCAGCAACATTCCACTGTGAGAGAGAACAAGCTAGATTTCAGTGGAGGAAGAAATCAGGAAGTGGATAGGACACACACTGAGGAAATTACCCAACTGCGTCACAAGACAAACCCTTATATGCAGTCCTGAAGGCCAAAGGATAAGAGGAAGATCAAAGAACACATTACACCAAGAAATGGAGACAGATATGAGAAGAATGAACAAAAATTGGATAGAACTAGAAAGGAAAGCCCAGGATAGAGTGGGTTGGCGATTGCTAGCCGGCGGCCTATGCTTGATTGGAGGTGACAGGCGTAAGTAAGTAAGTAAATAATAAAAATCTCTGACTGAATACAAATCAACTATTTTGGTAAATAACAACTTGACTACTTTACTTCACTTTTGAAACAATAACAGATTGTTTGAACAACTGTGACTAGACACCTTTATTGTAACACCTTTGACTTCAGTCCTAAATTTAGTGTTTTCAAGATTGTTAGGATCTTGTTATGGTGATCACTTAGTATAATATAAATTACTTTATAGTTGAAATCATTAGTCAATTGAAACTAGACCGCCATGGAAAACTTGGATGTACTGGACGGCATGTCTGTCCTGTTGTGGGACTCCTCAGGTTTTCCATGGTGGTCTAGCTTCAATTTACTTATGATTTCAACTATAAAATTACTGAAATCTCCGCAAAACCCCTTCTGATAATAATTAACTTTACTTCTTAGCATAGATAGTATTTATCATCACATATTGAATAAAAAGCATTTGCAGATACTTAAACATCTTTACACATCTATTTTGAACTCGCCAAATATTTCTCTTTAATCATGCAGCTACATTCATCTGTTTGTACGAGACATATATGACATCTATGTTTCACTGAGTAATAATTATCTACGAGTAGTATCTTAAAGTAATTTATAAAAAATAATAAACACAAAAAGCGCTCGCGTGCGAGACTGATAGGTCCTAGGTTCGAATCTCGCGAGGTGGGGTCGTGGGTGCGCACTGCTGAGGAGTCCCACAATGTGACGAAACGACCGTCCAGTGCTTCCATGTTTTCCATAGTGGTCTAGCTTCAATTGACTCATGATTTTAACTATACAAATGTTTATTTATAAATAATTTTCATTTGAACGGTTAATTATTTTTCTTTTAAAAATCAACTCGAAAAAACAACCGTTTAACTAGCCAATTAATATTTAAAAAAGGTTAATTATATATATGGTAATAAATGATCAAATACTCACGCAATATCCCAACATTCTTTACATAAAATGTTGGAATTTGATAATGATGTTTTGTATGCACAATTTTGACAAACATTACGATTACATTTAATGCATCGATATGATTCTGTCAATGAATTAAATTGATGTAAACATGTTGGACATAATTTTGAGAATTTAGATGTAAATTTATGTAACTGCAAGGTTGCACATGATTGCCGTTTGTGAATATGTTCTAAATATGACATGGAATCTTCATCTTCAATTGGATTTATATCACTAGGCTGAATAACTGTAGTGTAAGTTGAGACAAAGCCACTACCAGGAACTGCAAGAATTTTGTTACGTAGTTGGTTCATATTACTGAGTAAGACTTCAGGTTGTAGTTTAGAAGGAAAAGATCCAATTAAGTAACTGAAAATAATGAAGACATTGTTTGTCATACTTTCTAAAGAAAAAAAACTTATTGATCCTGTTAAGGCGATTACTTTTGTAGACATTTTGAAAGTTAAATATAACCGTCATCTAGATTAAATAATACCGAACTTCTCATAAAATGTAGCCAATATATATGAAGTGGAAACTAGTTAGGGATGCATTTTATGCTAACTGATCAGTGAATGGAAACCAATGTTATCTTTGATTAATCTTTACTGCATATTGAATTCCATTGATCGAGTGGCAACTTACAAACCGATCTACATCACTGAACATTTTATGCACAATTTTTGGATATTGCAACTTCCTGTCTGTCCTGTTCAACTATTAAGCATTTGTCAAAATCTTTGAAATTTTGCACGTTATTCCGAAAATAAACTTCTTAAGCTATGTCTACATCGTTTAATATTTTTAGTTAGTAGATGCATGTCGGTGTTTATCATACTTACAAATGTTGTCGACCACAGTTGTTACATTAAAATAATATTCTGTTTAGTTCCAGAATGATCTAGTTAATATATGTGTTTTCTCTAGTCAACAGTGATACGGAATACGTTTTATCAGAACTAAACAGAAGAAAACAAGAATATTCATCCTCAATACTACTAAATTTTATCAAACAATACAAATAGAGTACTTGGTAAAATGATAAATCCTAATAAACCCTAGAATTTTGAACTTTTGCTATGAAAATAAATGGAAAAAATAAATGAAAAGTGACCTGACCGGAGAAAACCATTCAATAATATTGCCGAATACTACAGAACGTTGTTATCAAATGACAGCAGATGGATGGACAAAATAATAGTAATTAGAGAAAAAGTATTTTTAATTTTGAGTGTGACTCTTATACCAGGTAAAGACTGGATGGAAGAAATATATTGAAAGAGTAGGACCAGGAAATTTAGCTTAGTTTGTTGAATCTAACTAGGTTGGCCTTCGAGGAAGAGGGCTTATTTTGCCTTGATATTTCTTGTGTTCTCACAAAATCGTGTTATATGGTGGGCCATAATTATACCAGCGGTTTTGTCAACTGCTATGTTTCAGAGTGAAAAATCAAACGCTAAGAAGTAGATAGGCTTTTTTTGTTCAACTTTATAATTTATAGACCTCATGGTATTTGGTGTTTACTCTCCATCGATTGTACAACTTTTTATTATTCTACTCAGGTACGTTTTAGTTATCTGTAGTGTCGGTTTCTATCTTAAGCTCACATTACATGTCCTGACTTCTAGATAGACCAATTCATTCATTCTGCTAGAGTCATATTTTGACCTTGTTAATTATTCACCTATCAACCCTGACCGTTTTTATATGAGCGTTTGTGTGTGTACATATTTCCTACTAATCAAATGTCCATAGCTTATTTTTGAGTAACTATAAATATTGATTAAAGCTTGATTAAATCGAGTTGGCTCACTCGTTATCTCCACTAAACGTCATTTAGCTTGGCTCTCTTCTCTTCGCTTCATTCCTCTGATTGTCTGTTAAAATCAATGAGTGTAAAAAATATGCGCATTCAAAAATCTATTCTCGTATTTGACTTAATTCCGTTATTCACTTATGCTAGTTAAGTTGATGATTATATACGAGGATTGGCGATATATATATTTCGACATGTATATCTCAGTAAGAATCAATCATACGATCTAACTGCATTCAGACCCCAGGACACAAAAGTGGTGAGCTCGTCGACAACATCGTCCATTGTCATTGACGTCAAAATGAAGAGCTTCTTTTAATGTTTGATTAGTGCAATTTGTTGTGGTTACATGTGTTTTCCGTTTTAAGAAGGTTAGGAGGACATTGTTCTCCTAAAGACTGAATTATTTTGGTCCATTTATCTCACTGAACTAAGTTTTCCTGAAATTTGAATTATTGTGATACTTTTGATGATGTAAACAAATATTAGCGTTTGAAGTTTTCAAAATACGTGATAGAAAGTAAATTAAACGATTCCACTTCTGGGGATCTTTCTTTTTGGTGACGTTCATCCTGTCTTGGTTGTAGAAAGCTACAAACCCACTAATAGTCGAATATATATATATATATATATATATATATATATATATATATATATATGAATTTACAGTGTTTTGCTTGTTTTTTGAAACGATTCTGATACTTTCGAGATGTAATAACTCAACTGTAAGCCTTGCATTTTACGATTCTGTATCTTTAGTTTTAAGTATCTCTTCACCTTTGTAATCTCAGTCTATTTAATATATAAAAGCTATATGGTCTTTTGATATGAGGGTTATTATATATCAGTTGTCCTAAGAAAATAAACATAACAGGTAAAACATTATTGTTTTGGAAGGTAAGGACACGTTGAGAGCAACCATCGTAGAGTCAATTTATGTGGAAGGATCTCAATGAGTTTGTTTTTCCCTGTGAGTATTAACCTGTTTTAACCTGTCCACTGTATACACGTATATTTTGCATTTCGTTTGGCCTACATGAAATTATCTTTGCACTGTTTATAACTACTTAGTTGTGGTCAAATCTTACAGCGTCTTGTTTCAACCAACATTCCGAATTCCGGATACTGTCATGTTAAACGTTTATCTTTCTGATAGATTGTGTTTTATTTTATTGACCAAGTGTATTTCTGGAAGAATAGGTGTTTGGTTTCCTAGTTGTTACCAAGGTTTATTGTTTTAAGCAGTTAATGGCTCACTTTTGAAGCTATTTAATTGGTGATGTTTAAGTGTTTTTGGGTTGAGTCAATTTTCTCCCGCTGTCAGAAATCTCCTTGCTAAGTAATTCTTGCACATTCTTTAAGTTTGACAGCTAGCCATATCAATCAGATCTTAAATGGTTACTGTTGTATCAATGACTTCACCTAACGGAGATTTTTCCATTCAGCAACACTCACTTACACTGATCTGTACAGTTTACATGGTTATTTTACAAAAGACATCGTCCGTTATCGACTCAACTGGGATGCATCAGTGAAACTACTCCACTTTAAGCCTTTCTCATATTACCGGGAGTTTCGCATTATACAATCATTCACGTCTTTCACATTAGCTTCAATAGGAGGTTGTTCATTCCTACAACCTTTCGAATAAGTCAGAATAAATTTTCGTCACATTTCATTGTTAGGTAACCTCAATTTTTTTTCATTTCTTCTACATGAATGATGACTAAGAAATACATTTTGTGTACTACACAGAAACCTAACGCAAGATATTGAAAAAAGGCCGCTCAGTTACTATTCTGACCCCCTTACTCGCAACCTTGAATATCTCATTCCTTCAAAGATAATAATAGCCTTTTTACTACATGATCAGAAAATACCAACAATATGCAGATGGTTTTAATGGCAAGCTAAAGAAAGTGCTTACACCAGAACATTTGGCAACAGCAATCGAGATATCGAGCAGATGACACAGAGAACAAAGAATAAACACTAACAAAGATAAACCAATAAAGATTCAAGAAGTATTCACAGTAAATAGAAGCAGTTGTGTCATCAACCCGTCGAAACAACTGTTTATAAAGATTACCATTAGGATAATCAGTATTAAGACTGTTTGCAGAAGCTGTGATGAAGAGACTGGAAGCTTTGATTTTACCAGTAATCAAGTCAAAAAATGTGGATTCGTTATGAACACGGCATATTCGTTGTCAAAGGGGATAAACTGGAATGCAACCACAATGTGGTCAGCAACGTCTTCAGTGATAAAGATTTTGGAATGAAACAGAGCATGAACAACAAATAATCATTTTCGAATGCCTTGATCACCAAAAGCGACACAAAAGAAATACAAGACAACATGTTGGTCGTATGTGGAGAAAGTTGAATGCTCTACTTACAATTAGAGTTTGTGCTGAAGCTGTTCGAAGAGCAATGGAAGCTCCACGATCAAATTATTTTGCTCAGGGGACTAAACTACACCATAATCAACCTGTTGAACTATAAATCTTTGCACAATCATATGACCTAGGAATTATGATTGTAGAAATGTTAAAATCAAATACATATTCAAGCACTTTAGTCCATATGCATTACCTGATTCAGGTTGAATCAGACCTACAATCCTCATAAGACACGTGGCACTATTGTGACTTTCTTATGGTACTATTTAGAAATGTTTAATTATCAGTAGTGAGCTACCTTTTGATTGAGAAAACAGTATGGTTGTAGATTTCTTTATCAGACTTTTCACTGTATGATAAGACCTACATTGTTGTGGAGTTGTTTACTTATAACTACCATACAGGTAGTATTTAATTATGGTCGGGACTTGAATGTATTTCAGTAGAAGATCGATAACGAAAGAACGGAAACGAAACGCAATTGGTGTGTATATGCATTCACAATAAAAGTCTGAGATTATGGACAGATATTTACAGAATGAACAGTCAAGATTGAGATAGTGGATTGATAGTTGGCAACCTGACTGTTTACTATATTGTTCTCATATTTTACTTACATATTCTGTAATTTTGTGCTGAAATACATTCGATGTCTCAACTCGTGTTCTTGTACACTACAATATCACTCAGCACTTCGTAATTATCCTCACCCACACTTTGAGGCCTAATGAATCATCGTAAATGTTTTTACTGGAAGATCAGATAAAAAGATACTTGTAAACTAAGTTGAAACAGCATTTTACTATTTTCTTGGATCACATTTTATATCAACGTGTTTATCATGCTCCGCTATCCCAAAAAAACATTTTTGTCGAAAAGTACTGCCAGTAACAAAAAGACTATACATGTCTTTTGAGGGTTGTAAGCTTTAGTTTAGCTCTGTAGATACATAGAGAGGGGCATTTTGACATCATGTATCGCTTATAATTCTTCATCTCTCATTCTTTATTTGTATGTTTTAGTGATGAACTACATCTAGAAGTCTTTGTATATATGATCACGTCGTTTCAGTAATTTCGAAGTAGTTCCTAACAAAGGAGCTCGCCCCATATCATATCAGGCTATTTTGGTGGAAGGTAGTTTTTCGAAATTCCAATCGTTGTCTTTAATTGTTACTGTATTTATTATTTCTGAATAATTGATTAATGATACGTAAAATAGGAAAAACTGCCATAAAAAGTTAACAGTAAGCTTTACGTTAGATTGATGGACTGCATAATATAATGATTGGATGTTAAAATTCTTATAATACGTTTCAACAGTCACCAATCTAAATAATGTGGAAGAAAACTACTTCAGAACATTTCGTAGACTTAACAACATTTTCATTGTCAAACGACTTTATAAAGGTTAATCGAAACTCACTAGATTCTTTCGCTATCTGCTTTCTTGAGTGCTTGATCCCTTTGCATAACAGATCTCAGGTGATTAACTTCCGTTTCAGACACTGATGGGTTTGCTACGTAGTTATCTATCCACAGGTTTGGGTCCTCATACTTTGAAGTCATTTGAAGTAGCAAAACATCTTTTATTTTGTTAGATTCTGTGATCATGTTTTTCTGTGCTCTACTACACTTTTGAATGAAGCGCAAAATTGGCGTTTTTGTAGACTGAATAATTACAAGGTTGATGTGGTAAGATTGGCTTTTTTTAAAGCTTATAATTAAAAAGTGCATATCGACGGACACGTCATTCCATTATGCCTCAAGCATTATTAAGGAAAATTTGTTTTTCTAAGTCAATATGTGTCTGTTATTTAGCTTCTCGTTAGCGGTCACTTGGGATGCTCGGTCGTTGAATATTCATGGTTAGGTGTTTGTTTAGGATGACAGTGTATTTATCTCTACATGGATTTATCACGTTCTCTCTACTCATAAAGACACCAATCTTACTATGTGTCTAGTTACTGTTTTTATTAGTTGGTAAATCAAAAACACTAGTTTTTCAGCAAATCATACTGTTCAATGGTAGTTTAGTTTTGGCTTTAACCAAAGTTTATAGATGTGCCTCATGCGTCGCAAAACTTCCTTTCGGAGCTTTTAAGTAGTTTCTGTTATATGCGAAATTTTTTCTCTCGTACTGTTAACAGTGCTTTGTCCGACTAAATCTTTAGTACGCTATCATGACTCTGATTTTCGGTGGTTTTCATGTGTTTTCTAGGTTACTACTGACTTTAACTAGGATCCCGAAGGTATTAACCAATCTACATATTCGTGGTTTTTTCAGTTAAAATTATTGCAATCTTCATAATCACTTATCAACCTTCTATTATATTTTCGTGCAGGCGTTTCGCCATGTTCCACAAATACGGTAATTATATTTCAAAGATATGCCTAGGAGTTTCAGACAGTTCATAAGAATATAATGGTCTTCTGTCATCCCAGGTGCTTCGTATATATCAAAAGTTTGTTTATTTTATCTAAACACATAAATATTGGTACAAGGAAGCACCAGATAAATATGCGCCTCACAAATCTCATTCGATTTGTGTGAGGGCTGTGATACTGCCCAGGTGCCCAAACTGAAGCAGGTGGTTTTCTTAGGGGGCCACACCCGGAGCCTTTGACCTGAATGTCTGATCCATAAGGCAGTGGCGCATCGTAAGGAGATGCAGTCCCATGGTATCCGGTGATCAACGGTTGATTCGTACGCCATTTGTTTCCTCAGGATACTGGAGCCCATGTGCACCATTGATTTGGAATCAGGGTTTTCAAACTCTCCTAGGTGGACCCTCCATTCACAACACGTGTTATGCATTGGGGCAGTTTTGTTTAGCATTATTTACTTTTAATTACAGTTTTTTTCTAACTTTATTGTGAAACTAGATATTGAAAGTTGTTCTCTCTAATGGAAGACCCTGAACGACATTTCGACTGGGATCATGCTTTTCCTGACATATCCCCTATTTCTAACAACACATCTTATGGTTCATTCAGAGTAAATCAATCTCTTGATAAAAACTTGGGCATGTATACTTTACCTGAATTTAATAATGAAGATAAGGACGAATTTTTCATTTATGGGACGTGTATATCAGTACGTGGAGAGCAATCTGAATCCCGACCTGAGTATATTGATGAAACGGTAAATAATTCTCCAGTTCTTCCAGAATATACATCAACAAACGTTGAAGAAAGTTATAAGTCAAAAATTAATGAACTACACAAACAAATAAGGAACTTAGAGGAGGAGGCTAGTCAAGTTCCTATTCTGCAAGATAATTTACGTTATTTGTACGAAGAAAACGTACGCCTTCATGAGAAAGATGAAATTAAAGAGTCTCATCGACTTCAAAATGATGGGCATATCGATAGCACTGATGAAGAGGTAGAAGAAATTGTTGAAGAGGAAGTCCGGACATATAAAAAGGCTCCTAAAACTGACCCTATTTCTAATGATTTTCCTAGTCCAAACCACTTTGGTAACTTGAATAACGGGATTGATAAGAGCCAGTTCCCTTCGGAATATTGGTCTAGACTAGAGTCTTACTTCTACAAACGCTTTTTATCGGAACGACCTTATAGTCACAATATTGTCATGCAATCATCAGAAGGCAACAAACGCACCACAGCTACTATGGCTTGTCCTACCAAATCGTCCGGATTTAGATGCGTTGGTATTAATGTTTGTCCATCCATTCAGGAAGTTGGAGTTCTCTGTTCACGACCAGAAACACGCGAATTTGGCTGCCTTTTTTATGAAACCGAGTCGATGACTAAAGAATGGTTGAATCGTGTCTTCCCAAAAATGGAAGACAAAAATAAGAAAATTGTACACAAAGTCATACGAAGCTTTTATGAAAGTCGTGAAGAATTTGTTAGCACTTTGTTATCAATTATTAAAAAGTCCGTTTGTCATGTGGGTATTCAATCTCAAATAGTCAGCCAGTCTCGTGGTTGTTCACCGATCCTGAAGGAAACGGAAAAAGTGGCTTCGAACCCGAATTTAATCAATCAATCCCCTCAGTCACAGGTCTCTGAGTTTGTCCAGGCGATGCCTGTTTTAAACAGTCGGTGTACTATGACAAAACGTCATCTGGGTGTTAATGTTGGATGTCTAACAGAGTCTCCCGTCTTTCGTAGTCAAGGTACCTCCCCGAAAAAGGATTTAAGAAGTTTTACTACATGTGGTGTACAGTATGAAAGCAATGTGGAATTGGTTCATAGGGGTTGTGATCCAATATGCCCTGAACTAAAACGTATCGCATCATCAACGCAAACACAATTTGAGTGCAGCAAAGTGGTCACTGACGCTCCTTTTCATAAAAAAGATAGCATAGTAAAATCCAAGCGATCTACAGAATCCTTTGAGGTTAGTCAATGTTCTCAGGATTGTTAAATACATAATTTGTATGCGTCTTGCACTATTTCTAATTGTTGCATTGTGTTGTTCAAGTATCAGTTTACACTCATGCTCATCTGGCCACCTAAATTTTAATACAGATGTTGAACCTCTTTTTGAAACTTTCCGAATCTGCCCATTTGTGGCGTCAGCGGAATATCTATGTACATATCGAAGGGCAGTTATCCTGGTTAGTTGTTTTATTTGCCCCATTATTTTGTTCTGAAACTTCTCGCACAGGTAAATAGAATGAGATTGTAAGCATCCACGCAGACAGACCTCTGGATGTGAGGCGTGTATCATACACGCTAATATGCCTCATACTATGGACAATAAAGATGTATGACGATTGGGACTTAAATATGTTAAGGTTGACCAGATCAAAAATTTCTCAAGCATATGAAATTGTTGACTATTGTTACAAGGCGTGTAGGTAATTGTAAGCTAATAGACAGTATCTCAGTAGAACAAATAAATCTTCCTTTCTTCTGCGCCTGGTCCTACGTTGTAGCTGACTGACTGACTCCAAGTCTTTACTATCCCATAGCATTTCATTTCTGTTCACTTTACTATTTTTTAATCCTTTTGTTAAATCTATTGTTACAAAGCGTGGTAACTTTGACCTATCTACTCTCTTACAATATTCTTTATCGATGCACCTATCTGAATTCATATATTCTGTAGAGTTTATTTTAAGTGTGGACTGCTTCCATACATACACTTCCTGCGTCATTAATTTTGTTGAAGAACCTGCATCACCGTTACATACCGCTACATATATATGACGCTAACCCATTTCCAATATTGGGATCTTGTGGAAAGACTGACAGTAACTCAACTTGTGATATGGTTGAAAGTCTAATGCGGTGACTCGTATCCATTCATTCCTTATCTTCCTCTATATATTAAGTTTTAAGTTTGCTTTTTTTGCGTTTTCCTTATTTCATTCTTTTTGAACCGTATTTCCTATGTTTAATCTTGTCATCGTTGTTGATATTTTTATTCCGATTTGTCCGTCATTCATCTTGTTAATTTCATGTCGCTCTATTGAAATGATTTATTAACTTGGGGTGATGAACATATGTATCAGTTTGCACATTGTTTATAACTGGTTAGTAAACATTGTAATATAATTTTATATATCTCTATACAATGTAAGAATAATTTGATCGACATCGTTATTCACTCGAACATCTCGAGGGTATGTATGTCGATTTCGATCTAAACCATTATTCATTTAAGCTAGAAGTAATTCGGTCACTAGACGTAAAAGAAAATACGCTCAGTAACGTTTCCTATTGCTTAAGATTCAGTCTCTACCAAAAATCCGTCCCCTTTTAACCACTTAACTATTTACAGAACTTTTTCGATCTGTTTGCAGAAGACAGAAAAACGTCAAAGTATTCAAGAGACAAATGATTCGAATTCTGTTTGCATTACTAGACCATCGAGATGTGATTCTCCAAGGTTGAGTCAAACAATGATTCCATTATCGAGACTGCCTTCATGTACATCAAGTTATTCTGAGGGTTATACTGTATCTACTGAACGACGTATGGTTGATGAACTTTCACAACGATATATGCTTTTGGATAAAGTAAACCTAGATGAACTAAGTTCTGGTGGACAGACTGCATTCCAAGATGTTATGTCAAAAAGTGTTGATTTAGGAAGTACTCACGTTATAAAAGAATTTCAACCAACCATCGAAGTTTTTCATCATATTGGTGATGAGACTGAAGAAGTTGATCCTTCTACTATACCAGATGAAATGCTATCCCCATTCCGAGTAAATTCACCTCCTGGGTTTCCTCTCTCACCTGATTTTACAAATTTAAAATCTGATCCCAGAGTGCGTCATAGTTCTGGTTTATCTAATCCACCAACTTCTGATCCTCCTACTATGCCGCCAGTATTAATACCTATTATTTATGGACAAACTGCAAAACTCCCCGAGCCAGTTTTAAAACCATTATATTCCAAGTAAGTATCTCCATTAAATCGTCATACTCTTATCTCTTGTTTTTCTTCATTATTAACATATGTTTTGTTCGATAAATGCTACCACCATCGTAATGTAAATAGCACTGTGATCAAAACTAGAGTTCTGTTACAAGTGTTCAGGTGGTTATCTATATCTGTCATGAGTAGTTTTTGAGGGATTTCAAGGCAACTGAAATCAGAAGTGAAAGCTTTTTGACCTGATAGAGCAAACCTAAGGTATATTGGCTTAAGATACGTTATAACGACGTTTTTGTAAGTACATTTCAATTAACCAACTCGCTAATTCACAGACCTTACCGCTGGGACTAGAAACTAATAGATCGATAGGGAGGTAGGGTCTTTTCAGGTCAGTATTTACTGTTCCTATCTGTGGGTAGGCAGTATCTTAACCTAATAATAAGAGACCTGTATGAAACAACAAAATCGCAAGGATTGTGTTTTCAACCAATGCACATCGATTCAGTTGTCACAATAAGCAATAGCAACCATTTCTTTAGTGTAGCAGCTTTAATAAGATATACGGGATGTACAAACAACTAGCGATTAATCAACAAATGTCATCATAAAGACTACTTATTTTACATTTTTTTCATACTTTATTCACTCAAACGAAACACAAACTTGAAATGTATTTGAACATGTAACGACCCAGGTTTTAATTAATATTTAGGTTAAGGAAACAGGTTAATTGATTACAAAATGTAAACACAATTGTGTCACATTAAACGGTGATGTCATAAATTTATGAAGTGTAAACTCGGTGATTTAAGAACCGGACTTTCAACTATTCAGTAGTTAGTTAGTGAATTTTGTTTTCGGTTTCGACATTCGGATGAACAACTTCGTGCTTCTACATTCGTTTCCTGGGGTAATCATTTTAGGTCTGGCTTTTATGCGTTTATTAGCACCTCATCATCCATCGTCATCATTTTCTGATTAAACCGAATATTTCAGCACTTTATTACAGGAATACACTAAACTTGATGAATAAAGTCGTTAGGCCTTTTTATGTGTCTAGGTGCTATAGTTACGATTATTTCATTTGTGCAAAGAATCGGCTTTAAAAGCAGCTGTTTCATGTTTTCTAAGTCATCATGTCAGCGGTCTATAGATTGGATTAGAGCACGTTCCATCCACGATTGTGTTGGTTCACGCTGACTGGCTATTTCTTATCCAATCAGCGCTGGTCGATACTTGGAGAAGACTCTAAAGTCTCATGTAAAGAATATGAATATGCTAACATTTCCCTTATTGTGCTTTCTATTTTCATTTCCCTTGTTATTTGGAATATAATATCGTTCCTGTTCAACCGTGTTCTAATTTGGGGACTTGTCGAGTGAATTGATGTCCAAGAATACTAAGCAAATAGGAATATCTGGGCTGTAATAAGTGAAATTATAACACATTATAAAACTAGTGATCTTACGTGAAGACTGATGAGTACACTACATAACTTAATATAACTGCACAATAATGTATGCATCATTCGAGCAGCTAACAGCCTTACTGCAATATTCCACGAGTATTATTACAATGACAAAAGTAATCTAGTCCACTGAATCTCATCAGCATGTTTTAAGTAGGTCTTTACATGATGGTTTTGTATGTAATAGCATTCATCAGTCAGTCAGTCAGTCACAACGTAGAACTTCGTACGTACGTACATCAGTTCGAGTTGCCATACCACATTAGCACAGAGATGCAGTTGTCGATTCAAATCCCATAGTGGTAGAAGTAGTAGGAGTATAATCAGAAATCCAAAAGATTAGGGTTTGAAGAAATTATTGAAGGAGTATAGTACAGTGAAATAAATTTGGAAAGAGAAAAACATAAAGACATGAGGAATTCAGAAGATTAGAATTTGATAGAACACAAAGAGTGGATGCATCTTCGCCATTGCAAACGATTTTGAGCCATGTCATTCAAGGTCTCTAACCATCGGTTGCTGTCATCTCGCGAATCCCAACCAGGTAGTCTACACCTACCAACATGGCCCAGTCCACTTGTCAGTGACTTCATTGATTTGTGCCACGTTTTGGTCTGGCCACCCCTAGCTTTCTTCCGACCTACTCCTACACCATGAAACATTGCACGTCGGGGCAGTCGGTGGTCGGGCATACGTAACACATGTCCCAGCCATCTCAACTGATGAAGTTTCACTACTTCATCAATCGATTTGCCATCCCTACCTAGTACTCGTTTCCTAACAACTGCATTACTTACCCGGTGGTCCCAGGATATACGAGCAATGCTTCGAAGACACCTATGATCGAACACTAGTAGCCTACGAATATCCTCTACTCTTATTGGCCATGTTTCACTGCCATAGAGTAGGACGGAGCGAACTGCTGCACAGTAAACCCGTCCTTTGGTTGCTAGACGGATATCTCGCCTACGCCATAAATGACGCAAGTTGGCGAAAGCTAGACGAGCCTTCTGTATCCGTGCTGAGATTTCGTCACATACGAGACCACAAGGGCTGATGAGACTCCCAAGATAAGTGAAGTGGTCTACACGCTCAACTACTTCACTCTCTATCATTAGTTCAGATGTCGATGCAACCCAATCCTGAAGTAACATTTTGCACTTCGAGGGAGAGAATCGCATTCCGAACATGCCTGCATAGTTGCTTATAGTGGTCAGAAGACTCTGCATGTTGTCAGCGTCTTCACCGAGTAAAACTATGTCGTCGGCGTATTCTAAGTCAACAAGTGAGCCTCCTGGTAAATGTTCAACTCCTGGAGGTTTAGCTGATGAAAGTGCTATCTCTAAAAGTATGTCAATGACAAAGTTAAACAAGAATGGGGAGAGTGGACAGCCCTGACGAACGCCACTTGTGGTAATCAGTTCTGATGACAGTTCGCCATAGGCTCTAACTCGACCAGTTGTGTTCGAGTAGAGAGCCTTTATGAGGTTAATGTACTTCTTTGGTACTCCTTTCAGTGACAAACATTGCCATAGAACCTCACGATCAACGGAGTCAAATGCCGCCTTAAGGTCAAGAAATACTACTATTGTGGGACGTCTGAATTTGTGTCTATGTTCTAGAACCTGACGTAGGGTGAATATCTGGTCTATGCAACCACGTCCAGGTCGAAAACCAGCTTGGTTTTCTCTAGTCTGCTCTTCACGAGCTTTGGTTAGGCGACCTAGTATTATTGAAGCTAATATTTTAGACACTATATTAGTCAAACTGATCCCTCTGTGATTGTCACAAGAGGACTTTTGTCCTTTCTTATAGACTGGCACAATCAGTGATTGGGACCAGTCAGATGGAATTACGTCCAGTTCCCAGATTCTACCTAAGACCTCAGTCAATCTCACTGCTAGTACTGGACCACCATCCTTAAAAATCTCAGGGGTCAACCTGTCAGGGCCTGCTGCTCTCCCTCGCTTCAGATTTCCTATAGCTTTTTCAACCTCACAGAGGGTTGGAGGACTTACATCAATTTGCCATTCAGGACGACTGGGGATCGTGGGTAATTGAAGTGTGGCTGAAGGCCAGTTGAACTGATCCCTAAAGTGTTCTGCCCATCGATCCAATCTCCTGGATTGAGAATGAATAATATGCCCATCTTTATCTGAGATGGTTTCACTGATATTCGGGTTCCTAATACCGGTTTCTTTAACGAGTCTGAATAGCTGCCTACTGTTACCTATTGCCGCTGCCTTTTCCATCTCCCTTGCTTTCGCTACCCACCACTGTTCACGATCATTACGTAGGCTTCTTATAAGCCTTCGCTTAAGTTGACTCCGCTCTTCGTTATGCTCAGAGCCAGGTGGGATGAGTTTACGAGCATTTATCAGTGCGGTAGATGCTGCCGAGATCCATTGTTTCTCCCTAACGTTATGGTTTACCTTACTAGCAGATATCACTGCTGTTTGCACAGCTTTTCGGATGTCATTCCACGCTGCCTCGGGGTGGACACAACTTACATGGCTGCCTAACTGTTTTCCTAGTTGTTCCTGAAATATATTCTTAGCTTGCCTATCATTAAGTAGAACCCTTAGAGGCTTCCCTGCAGTGTCTTTCCTACGACCAGTAAGTCGCAGACAGATACGTGCTCGCACTAGAGCATGATCTGAATCTAAACATGTGCCCCAGAATGAGCGACAGTCTTCTATCGAGCCCCTCCATCGGTGGCTGATAGCGATGTGATCTAATTGGGTCCAACGTTGGGACGAATTCGGGGGTCGCCATGTCAAAAGATGTTTTTCCTTATGCTTAAAGTTAGTATTTGCAAGAAATAGGCGGTTATCTGAGCATAGCTGCAACAGACGGTCGCCATTATCTGTTCTTTTCGCCATGACACCATAAGATCCACCCAGGTGTCCTTCCCTTTCACTTAGTTTACCTACTTGAGCACTAAAGTCACCTGCTACTATTACTACATCAGAACGCCTAGCTTCTCGGAGAAGGTCAGAAAGTTTCCTGTAGAACTCATCTTTTATATCGTCTGAGCTGCAGTCAGTGGGAGAGTAGGCAGAGACGACGAAGAGGCAACGACGAGTTTCCCTATCTTTCCGGGTCCTTGATGATCCGTTTAGTCGGACAGCGCATAGACGACTGTCTACTGGGATCCTAGTTCTGCCCTAGGACTTAATGCTATACCTACTCCAGCGAGGCCACGGGAAGCAGCATCAGGGCTTCCAGATACACGAAGCGTGTATCGAGATGAAACTTTATTTTGATTAGGTGCGGTCAAATGAATGACACTACTCGGATCTTGTATGCGCGTTTCGGAGACGCAGCACACATCGATGGTGTAAGATTCTAGAGTCCTAGCTAAGGAAGTTTGTTGTCCTATTTGGCACAATGTTCGGACATTAAAAGTTCCTATATGTAGTTTAGAGCGTGGTTTCAGGAGACCAGGAATAACGTTCCGTGTACTCGAATCGTTTGCCCTAGCGGTGCGAGGTGATAAAAGGACGTGGGAAGGGTTAGTCGTGGAGATAAGAGTGTTATTAGGTGTAGGAAGGATTTGAAAGCGACCAACTTGTTCTTGTGTGCAGTTAAGGGTATGAGGGCTAGTATCACTTCCCGGCTGCCCACACTGTGGAAGGGTATTTCTTGAGGGACCTGAAAAAGAAGTTGGATTAGTGTTGGTCTTAACGACCTGGGAGCGTGACCGCAGTGCCCAAGGGACATCTGCTTGAGGCCGGTCACGCACGGCCTTTTTGTGGGGGATTTTTGATGTGTTAGCTCCGTTCTTCAAAAGTCCTTACCGCCGGAGACGGAAATCCGTGGGATAAGGCGAGGTGTGCATTTTTAGGGTCGACCTTTTCTAACCCCACCCCTCCTTGTGGGAAGGCAGCATCGCTGTCATGCTGGTTGTCTGAAGGAAACACCTTACTGCTTTCACACCTCTGTACAGTCAGCAGTACGACTTCGCCTTCGGACCTTGGGATTGCTGCTTTTAGTTTCACCGCTCTTCAACCGACCTGTCTGGCATGGTAGGACCTTGAGGAACGATTGTTCCAGCCAGCATAGCTCGATTGGATCATCACGATAGGCAAGCCCGACCACCACGTCAAGGTAGCAGCAACGGTCGGGAATAGCATTCATAGCGAATCGCTATTGGTCATTAAACAACATGAATATAGATAATAGTGAGTTGCTATGTCTTGGTTTTAAAGTCCATAGACGTTAGATTTCGCAACTTCACTACTTTGAGGTTCCATAATCTGACGAAACAAATGTTTGAGTTTTCTTTCTCCATGTTTTCTGGCTAACTCTTTGGTTAAATAAAACCCCTCAAACTATATTTTCATGTAAATAATATAATTGGCTTCTGTTTTTCTACTGGTGATATGTTTTGTGCTAACAGTGCTTCTGTAGTAAGATACCATAGCTCATTCTTACTTCCAACTCTCACTACCGAATGAAATCCTGGAAGGATTTTGTACATAAAAACCAAGGGAGACTATTCCACCATTCGGATTCACTTATTTGTGTACAGAATTATCCGCATTCATTATTGATTAACGTAATTGTTACGCTGAATTAGTACAAATAAATATTATACTGAAGGAAGGTCAAACTGAATAAGTGTGAAAATCAATGAACTAAAGGCACATTAATTATTACATGATCTTACACTTGCTTTTTTCCTAACAAACTGTATTTAAGCATCCAACGTCTGCAGCAACCGAGTACTGAATATTCTGTTTAGAGAAAAATATCAAATTAATTATTGCTTCAATGCGTTTGTTCATAAAACGTATGTTGATTCATTTCTTATTAAATCAAATTGATCTTCAGTCCTACCTAACCTTTGCTTTGAAAAATATTTAAACGTCTAAATGTCATTTATTTGTATTTCAGAGTTCATAGTATGGGAACTCCGAAACCTACTGCTGTTTCTTGGATTCCTGTACGTAATTACCGGTAAGGAGATTTTGAGACAACCTAGATCAGTGTTTAAAAGCATAAAATTTCCTTCATAATAATTAAACAAAATCCCTGCTTATGGAGCAATACTATATAACATCTTAAACTTGAACGAGTTAAGTTGTTCGAAGTAGTCGACAGGGATCACTGGACCTAGGTTTCATGCTGTTTTGGACTCATCAATAAGGCAAATCTGTAATTTTGACGGAACGTATGCTCTCTCGTTAATTCGAACCGCTTTCACTCAGTCTGTCCTAATGTGTTGCTTTGCATTTCAAGTTACGTAGAGTGATGGGGCTGCATTGCAACCTGATCGATATGATTTAATCAGCACTAAAGGACTAGAGAAAAGTGATATTGGTCACAACTCAATGATTCAACAATTATAGAACGTTATTTTAATCCCTAATCAATTATCATTTTATCTCGTTCTTTGCTTTTAATAACAGTGGAAGCTGATATATCTAGTTATTTATTTTTAATCTATGCATTAAATATAGATCCAATGAATATCTGTATGTTTAATTAAGTTCCAGTTCATTCATACCTTTGGATTTTCTTTGTTGGCAAGTTATTTCCTCACCAATTGAGAATATTTTTAAAAACATCGAGAAACACTAAAATTAAAAAGTATATGGTTGTGGAGACTGTCGAACTTCATTACAATCATGAGCTGATCAATTTTAGATCACAATTTAAAACCTAGAAGATGGCTGCGCTATATCGTAGATTGAAGTTAAACATTAACACCGTTAGATGCCAGCTCTGTCGTCTAGAGACCAAGCGTTCGCGCACCAAACCGAAGGTCCTGGGTTCGAGTTCCGCGCGGGATCGTGGATGCGCACCACTGAGGAGACCGATACCAAAATGAAATGGCCGTCCAGTGCTTCCAGATTTTTCATGGTGGTCTAGCTTTAACCGACTCATGAATTCAACTATTGAATTACTACAGTCTCCACAAACCTCCATTCTGAGAATGCCCTTCTTATAAATTTAGACAAGACATATGGTCAAGCCGCATTGGTTTCAATTATATCTATCAGGTTTCCCCATTATACATACGGTAATACTTATTTATATTTATGAAAAACATGCAACCAACCAAGGATATTTGATAGTCGAGGACAGACTATGTGGTCTCTTTCATACACTGAATTCCTATATTTTATTGATGAATAAAACAATCTAATTTTATTCATTTGTTCTAACAGTCTCACAAAAAACATTAACCTGTCATTGATTTTTCCGATTTTTTTACAGGTTCATTTTATCAAACGAAGCAAAAAAAGCATGTGAATCTTTAATTGGCTACTATCAAGCTGAACCAACTGTTGGAAGGGCAGAGGAAATGGTATGTTACTGTTCGTCAGCTTTTAACTATCAAAACTAAAAATTCCTGCAATGAACTGTGCTTATTATGTTTGTAAATGTTTCAATTAATCAGTCAGTAATAAGCAACATAGGACTTAGCACAAAGTGTCCCTCGATCCTAGTTGTCACATTACATCAGGAAAGTAAAATGAAATTATCATGACGTTTTCCAGGATGGGGAATGAAGTATGATTTGCGGTTATAGAAAAGATTAGCTACTGTATATGTTTAGGGAACGATTAGTTTACTGAATATAAAGTATGCAATAATTTTGAAACTGAGGAGGTGAGAGTGAATGCATCTGCAGTGTTGTAATTGATCCTAAGCCTTGTCACCCGATATCTCAAATGATTGGTCACGATAATCGCGCTAACCCCCGATCAAGTAGTGTGCATCTACCTCCCTTACTCAGATCAATAGTCAAGGAATTCGTGGACTGATGCCACGTTTCGGTTTGGGCACGCCTAACTCTCTTCCAATTTAGTGCTGGCCGAGCATGCGTAATAAATACCCTATTAGCTTACAATTTGGTCATCAACTGGTTTTATCTTATTTCAGTGCTACCAAAAGACTGTATTTTTTCGGCGTCTTCACCATACAGGACTATGTCACCTGAGTATTCTAAGTCCATAAGTGGAACTCTTGGTAGGAGATCAATGCCCGAAAATTCAGCCGACGAGAACGGTATTCCCGGCAATAGGTCTTCAATGAAGTTAGACAGTAATGGAGATAGTGGACAGCCTTGCTGGACACCACTTCAGGTTGCAAAATCAGATGACAGTTCACTGTAAGCTCTGACTCGACTGTTAGTGTTCGAGTAAAGAGCCTTCGCAAGTGTGTGCTTCTGACGTACACCTTTCAATGACAGACACTACTACAGAACCTCTCGGCCTACATAGTCAAGGAAAATTATCATTGTCGGACGCCGATAAACATGCCTGTGTTCTAAAGCCAGACAAATGGTAAATATGTTGTCGATGCAGCCACGACCAGGTCTGAAGCCTGCCTTGTTTTCTCGTGTTTGCGATTTACGAGTCTTTGTTAGGCGCCCAATAATTATTGAGGCTAGTATTTACACGCTTTGTTGGTCAGTTAACCTCTCCATAGTTATCACATAATGTTTTTGCTCCTTTTGTATATATTGGGACGATCAGTGATGGTAACCACTCACATGGGATTACATCCAATTGCAAACATTTAGCTGAAATATTGGTCAACCTAACCGCTAAAATTGGACCACCATCCTTAGAGACTTCCGGAATTAATCTATCTGTACCAGCTGCTCTTCCTTGTTTCAGACTAGCTAGGGCCTACTTCAATGTTCCATTCATGCTGTTTGGGAATGGTGGGCAGCTGTAGATTGGCTGAAGGCCAGCTGAACTGCTTCTTAATGTGTTCCGTTCATTGTTCTAAACGTCTAGACTGAGAGCAGATAAGAATGCCGTCTTTTTCTGAGGTCGTCTCACTTACACTTGATTTCTTAATCCAGGTTTCTTTTATTAGTCTGAAAAGCTGTCTGGTGTTACCTTCAGCCACTGCCTTTTCCATTTCTTCTGCTTTCGTTACCCAACACTGCTCACGGTCGTTCCTCAGACTTTTGGTTAACCTAGATCTGGTTTGTTTCCGTTCTTCATCATGTTCAGAGCCTGATAGGATGAGTTTACGAAAATCTATTAGTGCAATAGACTTAGCAGAAATCTACTGGTTTTTCATAACCCTTTGGTTCAAATGCCTAATAGAAGTCGCCGTCGTTTCCACAGCTGTTCGTGTTTCTTTCCAAGCATCATCTGGGTTGGCGTCGTTTGAGAAATTACCTAAGTGTGACTTCAACTGTTCTTGGAATTCGCTTTTGGCTCTCTCGTCACTGAGTTCAACTCTAATGGGTCTTTTCAAGGTGGCTCTTCTTCGTCCAGTGAGGCCCAAGCAAGTGCGTGCTCGTATTAGAGCATGATCGGAATCTAAATATGTTTTCCAGAACGAGCCACAGTCTTTTACGGAGCCTCTCCAACGATGATTGACGGTAATATGATCCACTTGAGGCCATCGTAGGTTTGGTGCAAGGGTCTCCATGTTTGACGATATCTCTCCTTATGCTTGAAATTAGTGCTTGCGCAAAATAAACTAATTTCTGAGCACAGTTGCAGCAGACGATCACCATTATCTGTTCATTGAGACGCAATACCAAAATACTCACGTAGATGTCGTTATGTTTGGTCTAAGCTACTTACTTGAGCATTAAAGTCACCTGCGACTAGTACTATGTTTGAGTGTTTAGCTTTTTGAAGAAGTTCAGAAGGCTTTCTGTAAAATTCACCCTTCACTTCATCTGGATTGCAGTCAGTGAGAGCGTATGCAGAAATGACGAAAGGCAGCGACATGTGTCCTTCTCTTTCTGAGTTCTTACGGAACCTTTTAACCGAAAAGCACATAGGCGACTGTCGACAGGGATCCATTCTAAAAGTGCTAGTTCTGCCCTGGTACTCATTGCTATGCCTACCCCCGCCAGTCCACGAGAACTAGCCATCGGGTCGCCAAATACCTGGAGGGTGTGTTTCGTCGGCTCCGTTTTGGCGAGGTGAGGTCAAGTGAATGGCCACACTAGGATCCTGTATGTGTGTTTTGGAGACATACTATACATCAGTGGTACGAGACTCTACAGTCCTAGCTAAGGAGGTCTGCTGGCCGATTTGACTTAGGGTACGTACGTTGAAGGTCCCAATATGTAGTTTGGAGTGAGGTTTCAGTGGACCTAAGACAGTACTTCGAGCACTAGAATCGTTGACCATGGCGACACTTTGGGAGGAAGTATAGAGTTGATAGTTCGCGCAGTAGGAATAACCGGAATTGATTATGAATACGGTGGTCTTAAGTATTATTCAGGGTATGAAGGTAGTCGTCATTTCTTCATTTTCCACTGCGTGAAAGTGTTCTTCTAGAAGTACTTGAAAGGGAAATTGGGTTAGAATTGATCTTAGTGACCTGAGAGCGCGACCGCAGTGTCCAAGAGACAACTGCTTGAGGTTGGTCATACACGACGTTTTTGTCAGTAATTTTCGTGTTAGCTCCATACTTGTTGGGACCTTACCGCCGGAGACGGAAATTTATGGGATAAAGCGACATGTGCATTTTGGGGTCGACCTGAACTTAGGTTCTCTGGTTTTGGTCCTACCGACCCGTTTGGTTTGGTAGGACCTTGAGAAACGATTGTTCCAGCCAGTATAACTTGATTGGTTCATCACGATAGGCAAGCTTGACCACCACGTCAAGGTAGCAGCAGCAGTTTAGTAATAAACGAGTCATTGAACGCGGCCAACCAGTTCACTTATAGTAGTTTTGTTTCACTGTACTCTTGAAGTGCTACCTTAGTACTTTCTCGGCATCCTCACTTAATGAAACTAAGTCATCAACATACTCCAAGGTAATCAAAGCATCTTAATAAAATTATCTGTTAATATTGATTTTGAGACCAACAGGTTTCTTTCAGAAAACTATCCTTATTCATGTGAAATTAAGACTATATTAATAAACGCCTGTACAACAACTTTGTCATCAGCCTGCGCTAAAGTATAGTTTATGTCATTAGATTTTCCAACCATTACATTATTTGTTTCCAGGATTTATGTTGCTTGTCATATTTTCCCTGTTTGTATTTCCAACTTTCTAGAAAGATAAACTTCTGACTTTAGTGAAAATTTGGTTTGAACTTGCTGCAACATCACAAATAGACTTACTTAGCATTGAAGATTTCATTGCAATTCTTCACGATTATTCACCATCTCTGTTACGTGATGTAATTCAATCAATCGATGAAAATGTATGTTTCATTCCTCTCTTCAATATTTTGTTTTCATATATGTGTCCACTTATTATAGCAAGAACTGAGAACTTGAGAAAAGAACTGGGTGAAGTTTGTAATGCTTCTTCAACCGATCAACATCGTATAATCTAATCTTGGTTAAATAATAATGTTTAAGCTACCTCCGCTGTATTTTGTGTGGTTCTTAAGTAACTCAAATTGATGATTCCTATTCCAATCAGACATCAGCTAAAAATTATCGATAACCACAAGGCATTTACGAAAGTTGTTTTATCTTATTTTGGGGCGTCGTAATAGTCAATCCGCTTTTGCTACCTTACAAAATATCAAACCTTTAACCTCGATTTTGCAACATGTGTGGGAAATTTAGATCACCAGATCGAATTGTAGTAGTCTCAAGGCAGTAGGGTTACATTATTATTGCATGACCAGGTAGTTGGGACTTATTTAAAAACTGAATAATGTCAATGATAGAAACAAGTCTTTTAATAGGTGAATGGTGTTACCTTAGCCCATAATCACTGACCTTATTTTACATACATCTTCCCACTTGTACGAATAAGTGGATTGTAGTACAGTACAAAGGGCAAAAAAATGTTGATTATGAGAAATTACAAAGCCTTTACGTAATACGTATACGTAGTCGTCGATCATTCATTTGCATCTTTTGGTTTGTTCTGCTATCCGAACTGTTTTTTCGCCTTGTCGTCAAGTTTTCTGCCTATGCCTTACTTTCGATGTAATAAAACTCTTCTCTCCTTTTGATAACTGTAGCAACTTTGACTGTACCTTCCGCTACATACTACTTACAAGCATTCTTGTGAGTAGCATCCATCTCAATATATGGTCGAATACATATATCAGCTTACGCATCTGTTTGTTTTATCCGTTTATTGATTGCTCAAAAGCTAAGAAACTCATTCGCCTACACATAACATATTTACTTTTCGAGCTGTATTCACTCATCCTCCATGTGCTTTCTTGCACCATAGTTCCCTCTGTTCTTTGAAATAAAGTGGTTCACCTACACCATTGAAAAATTACAGTAATAGCGATTGTTCGGTCGATTAATATACGTAGTATAGAAATAATATGAAATATAACAGCAACGATTTCTTTTTATTCATAAAATCACTTCGAATTTAATAAATGCCATATTATAACTAGAAACTTTTACATTCATCCGTTAGTCATAGCAATTGATTCTGAGTGATTAGATTTTATGTTTATATACTCCTAGTTTTTTTAAATATTTATTCATTATGTTGTCTACATATAAATAAGTGAAGACTATGAAAATGACCACACAATTGCAGAGATTAATTAAAACCAATAATGTCATTCAGTTGTGATATACCCAATTGAGAATAATATTTTGCTTTATGAAATATTGAGTTTATTCACGAGAAAGATCATTTAAAGAAATCATACAATAATTGATGTTTGTTACTATGATATATATACATATATATCTTAAAGAAGATAAATTTTACACATATTGAGTATGTGCACTTATACAGGTATGCAATCAATGAAGTGTACTAAACTTTGTAAAGTACTAATTACCTCCTTATTAGTAAATAAATTATCTAACAAATAATCGATCATCTAAACTCAAATTCCTAACATTCATTATTTAAAAAAAAATTTATTATTGTTATTTTAATTATTCTTTAGCATCCTACAATTAATTCATTATTATATGGTTAGTAATTACTCATTAAGAATTGTTTTCATAGTTCAATCATTAAGAATACTCTCTCTCTCTCTTTTGTTTTGTTTTAATCTTAAAACTATGATATAATCGATAATGTTTAGAAAAATTAAAATATGGAATGATTATGCCAATCGTAATTATTTACCTCATATTCGTTAAAAGAAAAAGTTATTTTGATTATATTTATTGTGTATTGATTTTAACAATATAGATAATTCAGTGAAAGATCATTAACGGACTGAATAACTTCAAAAACCTTATGATTTTGTAACTAAAATGTAGATATTATAGGTTAAAGTGTAATCCATCTGATGCCTTCATAAATAGTAAAGGAAATAGCCGAGAGAAATTAAAAAATTTATTGTTACAAGAGTTTATACATTTGTAATGAAGGCTTCATGGTCCATAGTATATTGGATTTACAATGTGGTGTTATGTAACTCATGTGGTGAACTAAAACACAGGTGAAGACAACCGCTATATATTTAGCACAAAACTACAGAGTTATTTGATAAAATAAAAAAACACTCCAATACTTCATTTGCAAAATGTCCATTAATTGTCTCAAACCTCATTGTTTCTGCATTTCCATATCCATTTCTTTCTGTTCCCATTCTTTCCTCCTCGATCTTCTCAACCTTCTGCTCTCAGACATTCTATTCCCGACTAGTGCTATATACTACTTGTGTCAACAACAGTAGAGCACACACCACACTCGTCCTTCCTTTCTAATAAACTGTTCTCACAGTTTTTCCGATCGCTATGCCGCTGTAATCTTTGGGGCTATTCGTAACTCACACTCATGGTGCTCTCGAAACTATCTCTGCAGTCGACTGGCATTTACGTGCTTCTGCTTGTCTTCTCTCCGGACTTTGTAAACCGAGCCACGTCTCTCCGTCACAATTTACGGTCCTTCCCACTTCGGGATCAGCTTTCCTGACCCTGATTCCTCTGCTATGTTACCTTTCCGTTCTTTACATCTGACTAGGTTCCCCACCGAAAAAAGCTTCAACGTTCTCCTCTGCTGTATCGCTTTCTTTGTGTCTGGTTTGTTTCTTTTCCAAGTTCCTTACTGTCCCCCTCTTCTCTTTTCGTAACTTTGTTGCCGTCCACTTCTGTTGTTGTGGCCAGGTCTTATTATTATTACCGGTCTATATCTATTATCTTAAATGTGAAACTCCTATTGGTAAACGTTCTAAAGTTAATAGTCCTATTTGTTATATCCGAAGAGTAATTTATGAGTAGCTTTTGTAAACTAGTTGTGGACTGTTAATTCATATATATTTTCTTGTTTTCTAACTATTGAGTAGCTCGATTTTATACATTTATCTTTCATTATAAGCTGTCATTTATCCTATTGGCTACTATAATACGATTTACTGTCCTTACGTCGGTCTGTCATTTAGTGTCTCTTACACTTACAGTCACTTTTGTTTAACTGTTATTTCGCATTTTATGGTGTTATTATTAGCTTTATTCAATATTATATTATTTGGTACAAAATCGAATACTCAGCATAAGGTATTTCAACATGTTTACGTTTCTTATTTCTTCGTTGCTCCTGATGATAAACATTCAGTGATCGCCAGTTGGATGTCAGCAGTTCAGTCAATCGACATATGAATAATGTATATTCTTTTTGCTGCATGTTCCCAGCAAACACGACATCTCTGATTAGGCCTTTTGTAACCTTTACAGCGAAAGGTTGTACAGTTTTCAGTATCACACCGGAATAGGTTGTGTGCTTAATAGCCATAATGATGTATTAAAACAAACAATATTAGATAACTTGTTGAAATATATAGATGACAGGAACAGGTAGCCCAGATGTTTAAGCAGGCCGCCATATGCGATCTGGTCTGCTTGTATATAAAGAGAGTATGCCTGAAATATGCATTTGTTAAAGTGGAGGCTGATATTTATGTTCTGGACTGAATTGGTTTTATTAGGCGAGAAGCTACTATACAGTGGACCATGAAGGACACAAAGTTGACTCAATGCTGGTAGTGCTGGCTAACGCGTCATTGGTTTATTACGGAAACTAGGTCGTATAAGTTAATGTTCTAATTGACAATTTTGTCACGCGATATTCGACGGGCTTTAAAACATAACACTCCTTGATTAATTTCATCTCCGAACTCTGCCTTCACTATGTGTCATTTCCTGACTATAGCTATATTGTATTCTTTTTCTCGATGGTCCAATATTTTGTAGGTGGTCTGCAATCATTATCATTCAAATCAGTTTAGTGAGAAGTATCGTCAGAAAACATAACATACGGTAGCAGAATATCCGCTATCCCATTTTAAAAATCGCTCATATATTCATCAATCTCTATCTCATCCTAATTAATCGGTTCTATTTGTCTCAAGGTCGTCAGTTTGGTATATTATTTGCCGTTTGCTTTTTATCATAGTTTTTAATCAATTAATTGCTTTGTCAATATGGGTCATATTAGTTGCCTTCTTCTCTGTGGAGATGATTTCCTTCCTATAAAACTTTGTGATTTTATTTCCTGTTTGCGCATTGTTTGTTCACTGCAGACAATGCACCATTGTTCGACCCCAGAAAACACTTATAAGATATTTCACTTAACATTAAAAATATCAACGTAGTAGTAAGGGGTATGTAAAACTATCCTCTAAAACTTAACTTGAACAAGAAAAAAGAGAAAATTAACTGTTTGAAATTCTTCTTCTCTTCTGTAGAACTATTTTTCAAATTTTATGGTTTTTGTGGCTTTCATCTTTTTGCAGTTTAATTCACTAAATGATCGTAGCTAGGTTTGTGTAAATACTACTATTTCCATGCATCCCCCATACTTTCATTTTCACAAATATATATATATATATATATATATTCCTTATTAAAAAATTCTATTATTTGTGTAACTGAAAACAAAATTCCTACAAATTATTTTTGTATAAATGATGTCGCCTTAATGCATTCATTCTCCTCTTCCTTTCTAATATAGAACAGTACCTGTCTGCACTATTCCGTTGGTCATGGTGCTTGGCAAGTTGTCAATCTGATTTTGGATACTGGACATGCTCATCCAGATCACATTAATCGATCTGGATTCTCACCTATTATGATTGCTACGCTTAGTAATGTAGGTTGAAATCTCGTTACCTTCTAAGCATTTTATGATCGTAGCAAATAAAATTAAAAATCTTTAAATTTTTTTCTCGGGACATATAGCGCATGAGATCATTTAGAAATATGCATAAAACAGACCAAAAGAAATCATTTACATTTCTCCTTTTTTATCTGTCGCATCAGTAAAACAAATCATTTACATATGTTGGTTTGAATTTTATTAGCCAACTCAGTTGTACAATGGCAGTGGACGTGGAAAGGTTAAATTATTGATCTAGTTATTAGCGGATATTTAATCAAGTAATTGATAATTCGTATTTTTCAATTTCGTTTATTTGCATAATTGAAATACTTATCAGTAAAAGTATAATTATTGTATGTTTTCAATCATTATTTCTCATATTTTGATAATTTTCTTTGCTTTTTTTCTCTGTTTACAGATAACTGACTCTAGTGCTTTAAAAACACTTAGTCGACTATTCAGTATGGGTGATGTTAATCTCTGCACAAATACATCTGCTCGCCAATCTCCACTTATGTTAGCTGCATTACATGGAGGTGTAGATATTTGTTCTTTGCTTATTGCACATGGTGCTAACATAAATGCTCAAGATGCTTCTGGTAATACTGCCTTAATGTATGCAATAGAACACGTTCATGTTGGTGTCGTAAAATGTCTCCTTGGTTGTAGGGATTTAGATTTAACTTTGGTCGATAATGTAAGAATGGATTTGTTTTTTTTTAATACTTGGGATTCATTTCATTTGAACAATGACTCGTTTAATTATTTAAACAACATAACATGTTTAAAAACATTTTTTTAAAGAACTTTTGTTTGTTTGTTTCATTGACTGACCTTAGTTAGACAACCATTGAAAACTAGGAAGCACTTAATGGCTGTTTTGTTCTGATGTATTACTCATCAGGAATGCGCACTTACTAGGTCACAAGTGGTCGGACGCTAAACCTTTAAGTATTTTGCGAGCTCTTAACCTTAGTGGACATGAAATAGTTTACATGTTTAACTTCAATCAGTTCGCTATATTTTGTAACCACTTTCCAATGTCATTAGTGACTAACTACCTTACACTCACTTGCTTGAACTTTACTGATCACAGCATCTCACTAGAACTCCCCACTTATCTCCTAAAGTTAGCTATCCAGCGTTTCCTATTCTTTACTGATTGTTTTAATAAGTTCATTATATGATATAAACCACAAAATTCAATCTCCGAAAATTTCATATTAGTGATAACCATGTTCCCACTAGTAACAAGTAACTTCCAGAGTTCTATTGAGAAGCCGCAACCATTGTAATCCAACCATATCGGTTGTAGGAAAGTTAGCCACCACTGGTATTAAAAAATAGCTGCATTATATCGTGGATTGATTGGAATCAGCTAATAAACCATTGTATGCCGAGTTCAAAAGTTAAGGGACCTTATATATTAATAAATGTCTATTAACTTGAGTGTGATTAAAAATGAAAACCAACAAAATACAATGGATTCATCCTGTTCTACCTGACATTGTTATCCTTACTTTTTTCTAATCTGTCAGCAATCTTTACTATAATTATACTGTTATTTATTACTACCTACTAAAAGTGTATTTTGGCAACCACTTAAAATTGAGTGTATTGTAGTCTGTCTTTAGTATTTCGTTGCTCAACAGACAAAACTCCAGTTACTAAAATAAAGTACACTTTACAGGTTGCAATCGGTAAAATTCAATTTCTTGATGTTTGACTGATAATAAAATGTAAAAATCAATACTACCTTCTCAATTAGCTGCTTTGATAATTACATATTATGTTTTATTAATCAAAGTTCGTTGACAACTACATAGACTTTGTAGACAGTCACATTAAAAATTTTGACATCTTTACTAATCAGTAATTTTTACATATGAGAGATAGTGAATGCAACACCTGAATTAATTTATCACTTAGTAGAATAAAACATTGTCAAATTGTAATGTTTTTTTGGTAATGAGTAAAACCCAAGAATGTATGGTGAAGCCTACCCGAATACCGATGAAATAATGCTCTGGTATTTTAAATTAATTGACAATGATTGGATGATAGGGATATCGATTTTCTTATGAGTTGAATATAACTAGTCTCCAACAGTTGATTTTTTATGGAAACTGTGTGCTTAATCCCTGGATTCTGATGAAGCAACCTATAATCAGGTTCAGTATTTTGGTGTGGTTTTTTTTAGATAGGTTAATCCTTTAGTTTGTATTTCATTAGGCGAATGGTCTAACAATTTATACTGACGACAAGTTATTCAACAGGTAAGATGGCTATCTAGAAAAAACATTTGCCTACAAAACTATACATTTGTCATTAAATCTTGAAATGAGTTGAAGGATAATTCAAAACAATGTTGCTTCCTCTAAACCATCAAAATAATTAGGAGCTCAACTTTTTATCGACCAATTAAAATTTCAAAATGAGTGACATGAATCATACTTGTTATTTGTTGTGATCGTTGTGCCTCAATTACCATTTTAAAATTATATTAGTTTGATTCATTGAGTTGTCAATTTTTTAACCTGTTGAGTAGTTTATTTGTTAGTTTCAGATCCCATTTACATTGTAATAGTTTCAGGCCTATTATTAAGTGTAGATACTCAACTTGACTACCAAATTTGTTAGAATTATCCAAAGTTCTTCACCCTTTCTCAAAATTTTGTGATTGATGACTCCATTACACATAACTGGTGATATGCTCGATACTTGGAAGTATTTGGTTACTTTTTTAAGATTATATAACAAAGACACGAATACATCTCATTTTCTAATTTACCTAAAATATGCGACTTTATAAGTGCTTGAATCCAAAACATCGATACATATCTTTTATGCTATCATACATGATATCTCTTCTTGTCCATCATAATCACATGCTCTATTTACAAGTCTTATGTTAAAAATGCATTCAATAAAATAATTTAGATGATCATTATTAACTATACGTTTTTCTTTATTTGCTTAATTCAATAGAATGGTAAAAATGCTCTTGATGTGGCAAAGTCAAAAAATGATTTAGAAATATTGAATTTAATTCAATCGGCTTATAGTGTTCCTTCAAAGGTAAAGTTTTATTAATGTTATATTATTATAGTCTAAATTAAATACTATTTTGTTAACTCATAACACAGAATTCAAAAGTTAATATTAATAGAGAGTTTTAGCTAATTAATTGTGTAAAAATCATAATTGTTTTATATCCTTGAGAATGCTTAAAAGTTAAGTCGTAACATCGTTTTACAAAGTGTACTAGATATATGGTCTTTTGAATTATATAGATAACTTAAGAAGGACTTTATCCCAACTGCATTTTGTCTCATTTTATTCTCTTAACATTTTTAGCTTTCCCATGCATAATAAAACTGAATTTCAATGATTAGTTGCTGTAAAAGCTATTTATGACTTCTATATATCACATACTGTTGTACAATTATATGGCTATGTAGAGCTAAATGTCTTATGTGAAACTGGAGGTTCGCCATTGAAATTGTGGATGGTTCGGCATTGCTTTGGCAAGTTTTGCTGACTGCTCATATGATAAGTTGGTTTGTTGGTTGCTTTTCAGTGTCCTCCAGGCCTTTTGTCATTGGAGCATTGTAAGGAATATCGCCATTGCTAACATTAATGAGTTTGACTGTCGTGTAAGCGGAATGAGTCAACTTTGGCTTGTCCATGTTGTGCATGATTGATTTACGCGATCACTGATCGGAATAATTATACATATGATGTGAATGTGTATATGAATGGTGCGAATGGTTCACCGGTGTGCTTGGTACCTGTATGGTTGCGCCACATGATTGAGCTGTATTGTTCGGATTGTAGCGTTGAAGCCTATATAGTGCCTGGTTCTCCTATGGAATTGAGCTGTACTGTTTGTATTGCTGCTTGAAAATCTGGATGGTGTCTGGTTCTCCTGAAAACCAGTGCAAAATTACCCTGGCCCATAAGGGTATATTATATAACTGTTGTACAATTATTACAAATCGTTGTTTTATTGAAATATAAAAGAGAATTATGATTGGATATGGCAAGTATCTGTTTGTTTATTCGGTTAATTCTCAGGTGCTATACTTAAATTTGTTAGAAATATGAAGATAATGGCCTCACCTCTCAACAGCTTATTGTTTAGTCCTACTAGTATAGATAACTAAGCTTCAAAGTTCTTAAAGTAGTCACTTATCTTAAATATATTTGCTATGTAGCTCTGGAATGATTATGATATTTTGAAGTTGAAATTGTATCACATGACAACGCCGTTTATTTAGTTGTTTTTAGCCATCCTACAGTATAGTTTGCTTTAACACATTGTAATGAGTTCTATTTATTTTTTTTGGGGGGGGGAATTTATGAAATGCCGTCATTCGCGTTTAAAATCAAACATGTGTGGTCAAGTCTTTTTTCCTTACAGTTGATTTCTTATTGATCCCACCAATAAATAAACAGTCTCACCATCAATCTTACTCTGTATTGTTTACATTCATCTTAATTTATTTTTGATGGTTAGGGAAAATTGGCTGAAGGACAGACTTAAGATTCTTGCTAGTTGGATTTCATCAACAAAATGCATTTACAGTATCAAAGGAACTGATAATATCTAAAGTATCCTAACTCCTTTCATTCAGTTTCTCATCGACTTCTTAACTAAACTATCAAACGTCGCTGATAAAATTCGTTCAGAATCAAAGACTCTTTGAAATAAGGTTGGTTACTACATAGTTGTCAGTTGATTTGAGTTTGATACTGATACAAGTCATCATTAACGTCTCATAATGCAACAAACGTTTCAACTGCACAATTAAGCATTAGTTTCCTGAAGATTGCACCTTGCTAAAGAGTCCTAGATAGTATTAAATTCAGTTCCTCGACTTCTCTAACATCAAACATAGTTTACCGCGATGTTGAAGTACTTAAATCAATAGCTAATTGCAATGTGATCGATAGGTGTCTTTCACCACTCCGGTCTAAATGATATTACATTAGCAGTCACACAGTAATCATTCGGTGCATTTGTTATTTTCCTCTCATTTTTTTTCACATTTTTAGCCTAAAAGTAATCATTTAATTCAGTTTCTAATTACTTATTTTTATATTTGATTTTTTTTACTTGAAAAGGCAACTTCATCCACTAGCGAAATTTCACCTAGCGCCAGGTTAGTACATATTATTTAATCGAATTCTTGACATTTTTTCCCTGTGATGCTCATAAAGGCTATGATTCTACTGTGTTTACTGTTGTATATTTGGTTTTTATTGAGATATATTTGGTTTATTCATATGAAAGATGGTTAGTTAAACCAATATATCCACTTTTCTTATCTCACTGACATTTGTATATAAGCGCATATATATATATATATATCACAGAAATTCAATCTTCGTGAGTAGATATTTGTGAACGAACAGTATTTGCACACAACACCATTGACATGAGTGTATTCACTTAGTTTATTGTTTCTCCTATTGTAGAAAAAAGGTGGAATGTAATTGTTCTACATTTCTGCTTTGTTGACTCCTTTTCGTTTTCTATTTTCTAACATATATATTCAATCGATATAGAAATAGTTTTTCTTTAGGTCAGTGTATGCGTATTAACATATGAGCGTATTTATGCACCCACTTTGTTTGCATCACAAATGAACATATTTAATCTGTTGTATACGAATACCGTCCAATATTTGAAAAAGTCTATCAAGATTATTCATTATTGTTGTTTGAATCTATGTAAATTACACAGATAGTCAATTGTAATCTTGTTTCTATTCGACAATTTATATAGATGTCTCTTTATATTTGTTAAGTCGTTGTTAACTTAGTAAATTGTTTATTCTATGTATATCAATTCATTGTAAAGTTCATTATACTCTTAATCGATAATAACTGACTGTTGTTATTAGTCTTTTTCATAAACACACCATCTATTTTGTACCATTGAAAGACAGAAAGTACTCAATCCTAATTTAGACTTATCACACAGTTGTGTGTATTTTTTCTAAGTGTTTCAGATTCTTTCGCTACTTTACTACCAATATACTGTTTAGTCAGAAACCTACTATGATTCTATCTAATAGTTATTAGATATACAAATAATTCACAACTTTTCACATATGTATGATAATTGTTATGTCTTTATATTCTAGAATATAAGATACGGGGAAAATAATTCAACTATAATTTCGGGTTAGCTCAAATACTTTTTTTCCCATTGCTGTGAGTATAACTTTCACCTAATCGATATATATTCTGCACGGGGTATACAGAAATTTACACATATCAATCCTATTAGTTCCTCTTGAAAAAAATATATACTCACGCTTTTTTTTATTTGGCTAATTGTATAAAACAATTTTTATCATTTATTCAAATTTCATTTTTTTCACACTCCTTCCCACTTACTTTTGCTAGTAAGTTTTTTCGGTGTATTTTTTTTACGTGGGATTAGTTTACTGGTGATACGTGCAATTCATTGTAAAAACTATTTTATGTGTTAAACCAAAAGCTACACTTTCATTTTACAAGGTTGAATTACAGTAAAACTTCTTATCTGTCATACAGTGCTTTGACCCCAGTTGTCATATCTCACATTAGTTCAGTAGGAAAGCAATTTAGGGAAGATTTATTAACTAAATGAGGATTCAAATTTACAATAGATATTCTAGATCTCATTTACAGTGAACCGTTTCAGCATGAGACTTCATAATCTGAAGTCATATCTTACCTACAGTTGTATGAATTTATCCAGGCAAACCTAGGCGTTTTCGGATGTCTGGTCGAAACACTTACCATAAAATCTGAAATTTACTCTGTAAGATTTTCAATTCCTAACCTTCAGAAATTTTAGTTTCGAACAATTTCTGTGTAGTAGTTTCATATAAATTTACATCTTATTTCACACATTCAAGCGAAACTGCTTAGAAATCATTTTATGTTACCGTTGTATCATGATGTAATCATAGCTACCATCTTCTTAAACTGCCAAAACTGACACGTCAATACCATCTACTCCTTTTGTTCCATCTAATTCTACAGCCTTTTAAACATCGCTAAGAGCTGTTGCTGTAATTTTATTGTCGTATTTATACTGTCATCAGACTATGAGCAAATGTAGAATGACTAAGAATAACTTGTTTTACTACACAATTACCATCTCAGCAATGATATTTTTATGCATACTCATGGTGGTTCTTTCCTAACCGATAATTTTAAATTGTTAACAAATTTTCTAAGCTTCGATAACCCGATATTGATTGGTTAATGCTAATGCTTTGCACATTAAATTTAGATCTTATTTTGATTTTCCTTACTGATATGTTTCTCGCTTAAAGTGGGTAAATAATATTCGACTTAATTAACAGGATTTTTTCCAATGTAAATTGGGTAAATAAAAACCTATCAAAAAGGGGTATTTTTCTTTATCATGAAATGAATCGTTATTTTCATGCCATTAAAGCAAATATCCTATCTTTTATTGTCAATTATTTATCTTGCCACCAGATGTATGATTTCAATGAAATAATTACATTTTTGATGTATATAATATAATGCCCAGTTATAACTTAATCGTTTGATTAACGCTTGTAGCACTTCTGTTGCCTGTGTACTTTTCCACCCCTAACAGTGAAGTGTGCTAGGAATGTAACAGATTTCTCATCATTTTTTTCACCTCTATACTACCTTACTTAAAAAGTCATATTCCTAAGAGATTTACATAAAACTTCATTGTTTAAACATTGATAGCTATTTCTTAAATTTCCAGTAACATTGTTCCAAATGGCCTCTTAGCAGTAGACTTTAAAAACTTGTTTGCCCTTACAACATATACATCATAAGTCATCAGATAATCAAATAGTTTAGTAATTCTTTGTATATAGGCGATTATTTTACGCTCTATTTCTTTCACAATGTTTAAGAAAATCACTACAGTCTAATTGAATGCATACTAAATTAAAAAATCTTGTACTTTGTAGTTTTACTTCAGATGTTCAACAATCGTACTTTTAAGCTATCTTTTCTTATAGTATTTTTCTTGCCATTTACTTTCAAATTTTAGTAACTAAGTTCATCGTTCAGATGATAATTGACACTACTCCTAAACCGTTTATTCAAATGTATTATATTTAGAGCACTAACTAATTAAATAAATACTTCAGTACGTTATTATAAATTTCTACGAATATTCGTCAATATTAGAAAGAAGTTTAACAAAAAATTGGGCACCAAGTATAATTTTTTATTATAAATGTTTGGCTACTAGATCAAGTGATACTGTAAAAACTATTGAAAATAGGTCTGTACTAATGTATTAATAAATTATAACCAGAAAAGTTAATATCTATAGCCAATAGATTTTTATTCATTTTACTGGCCCTTCGTTATTATTTAGCTCCAATTTCGTATAATTGATGAAACTTTCCTGAAGTTTATTTTACCCCTTGTTTTTATTGCTTAAATTTCTTTACAGATATATTGTTGAACGAAGAAATACACATAGATTACTGTTAGACCTATGTGATCTACATCATATTCCCGTCCCAAAATCAATTAAATTCTGTTTGTAGTTACTATTTAATATTAATTTACTACTTTTGTTTTAATGTATTCCCTTATTCTCATATTAATATTATTTATTTAGTATTTTATTTTACTTGGTTGTTTTTAATAACTCTTACACTTTCTGTTTCTTCTATTGGGATCACTCTTTTTTTTTCTTCAATTTTCGCAATTACTACACTAGATTTTATGAAGGCTGTGTATCTGTACCCTTTAAAATATTTACATGGAAATATTGTATACTAATTATTAACCAGCTTCTTTAGTAATTTATTCCCATATTTATATTATAAGCTTTATCATGTTATTGTTTTCAGGTATTTTTATATTTACAATTTATTTATATTTATCAGCTCATTACTACAGTTGTTGTATTTTATATTTTATGACAATGTATATTCGTCATCATTATGTATTTGCTATAATAATATTCGCAACATTTTAATATGATAAATTGTCTGTATACGTTACGTAATACACTACATTTTCTTTATTCTATTTGATTTTCGCGAAATTCCCCGTAATTTAATCGTATTAATGAAAGAGGCTTACAATTAGTTGTAGGAAAAAGTACCACACAAACTACCTGCAACAAGCAATATTTCACACCAAAGTTCAATGGCAACAGAAATTACAACAAGATCAGGAAGAAGAGTACACTTTCCAGATCGGTATTTAACAACAACCATATTTAGGGTAACATGGTGGTTGGAGGTGGTCAACAGGAAACCCTGGACCCGGGTTTCGTGCTACTTGGCACTCGTCAGCAAGGTGTACCTGTAATCTTGAGGGAACTGATGCTCCCTGGCGGATTCGATCCCTCAAGATTACAGGTACACCTTGCTGACGAGTGCCAAGTAGCACGAAACCCGGGTCCAGGGTTTCCTGTTGACCACCTCCAACCACCATGTTACCCTAATATATATAGTGCCCGCAGTGTCGAGCCACCTAGACTGGTGGCCACATTGCAACTTGATCGATAGCATTCGATCAGCACTAAGGACCTGACACGCATGAGATTGATCACCACCCAGTGATCAATCAATTGTGATTAGATCTCAGTCCTACAGGAGGTCGGTCGCGGCCCGAATAGCTCAGTGGTAACGTCTCTGACTGTGAAGCTGAGTGACGCGGGATCGAATCCGCCAGGGAGCATCAGTTCCCTCAAGATTACAGGTACACCTTGCTGACGAGTGCCAAGTAGCACGAAACCCGGGTCCAGGGTTTCCTGTTGACCACCTCCAACCACCATGTTACCCTAATATATATAGTGCCCGCAGTGTCGAGCCACCTAGACTGGTGGCCACATTGCAACTTGATCGATAGCATTCGATCAGCACTAAGGACCTGACACGCATGAGATTGATCACCACCCAGTGATCAATCAATTGTGACAACAACCATATTTATCTAGCCCAAATCCTGAAATCGTTATTATAACACAAAAATTCTTTATTTTTATTAGCTGTTCTTTATTGGCCCCATGGATCTTCATCATACTTACTTTTAACTTCATGCGATTTCTTGATGTTAAATCTACATTTGTATACACACTTATAAAACGTTTCAACACATACAAGCTGTCATTACAATTTAACGCTTATTTATCACGTTGGGCTCATCAATTCTGTAGTGCCGTGCCTCGTTAATCCTTCATCTCGATAACCGTTATAATACTAATCTTAACGGTGCATAAAATCAGAAGGCAAATAGAAGCGGCAACTACAGTTGTATTAACTAATGACGCAGGCCAGAAAGCTAAAAGCACATGAAAAAATATCAGCGAGCAAATAAAAATAACGCACATTAGAGATGGCGGGTAAGCCAACTCACTTTAATCAAGCGTTAGTCAATATTTATACTCAGATAAGAATACATTACAGACATGTGATGAATATGGTAAAAAGTGTGAACTAGCAGCAACAAATAATCAATATATAATTTAAAAGGAAGAACACAACTGTGCTGAAATGATAGTATTGGCTTAACATCAGATTTGGCCCATATTCGGATTGAATTTAGACTAACACTAGCAATATAATAACCAGCAATCGTACTGCATTAGACGGGTCTAATCTGCATTGACTTGACTACAAGCTTCCAAAGTATTTATTAGTCTGAGTGTCTTTAGTATTTATACATCAATATTGTAATAGGATATGATCATTGTGTAGATTGATGGGCAACTAGACAAGGGAATATTAAGGGGATCCATATTTAGGCATTCCAAGTAATCACGCAACTGAGCACAAGTTAACAAATAAGCTTGGATTAAAGTATTTTACAGCCACATATTCAGATGTCTTATTCCACAGTGAGTACCCAAATATTTTTATTTATCATGTCTGTATTTAATACCACAATTAAATTTAGAAGTCTGGAGAGTATGACAATAAAATGTCTCGTTGCTTTTTATTAATGGTGATACCTGACGTTGTCGGATAACGTAAGTCGCTGTTAATAACTGTTCATTTTTGCAAGTGGATGCATCTCGTGATTACTAATAATAAACTCACATCTGTATGAACTTGATGTTTCTGATCTAAGAGACTATTGGAAATGTATAGATATTGTTGTGACTTCCGGGTGTTACTCGT